CATCCATTTTTATACATACATATATATATATATAGACAGAGATATATAGAGAGATATATATATAAGATAAGATACGATAAGATAAGATAATATAAGATAAGATAATATAAGATAAGATAAAATAAGATAAGATAATATAAGATAAGATAAGATAATGTTATAAATGACTTTTCCCATGGATTTTACCATCAAAACATCCATTTATATATGATTTTACCATCAAAACATCCATTTTTATACATACATATATATATAGAGAGAGAGAGGGAGAGAGATATATAGAGAGATATATATAGATATATATAAGATAAGATAAGATAAGATAAGATAATGTTATAAGTGACTTTTCCCATGGAATGTACCATCAAAACATCCATTTATATATGATTTTACCATCAAAACATCCATTTTTATACATACATATATATAGAGAGAGAGATATATAGAGAGAGAGATATATATAAGATAAGATAAGATAATATAAGATAAGATAATATAATATAAGATAAGATAAGATAATGTTATAAGTGACTTTTCCCATGGATTTTACCATCAAAACATCCATTTATATATGATTTTACCATCAAAACATCCATTTTTATACATACATATATATATAGAGAGAGATATAGAGAGAGATATATATATATAAGATAAGATAATATAAGATAAGATAAGATAAGTTAAGATAATGTTATAAGTGACTTTTCCCATGGATTTTACCATCAAAACATCCATTTATATATGATTTTACCATCAAAACATCCATTTTTATACATACATACACATATATATATATAGAGAGAGATATATATATAAGATAAGATAAGATAAGATGTTATATATATATATAATATTTTATAAGAGGGATGGCCTCATGGATTTTCATATGGTTGCCATCTGATTTTGCCGTTGATTGAAACCTCGCCCGAGGCGCGGCATCACCTCGGAGCTCGCGCAGCCTCCCATGGCCTCGAGGACAGCGTCCCTTGGGTTGGAAAATCCCATGGGAAAGCCAGTGAAAAAAATGGGTTACCATATAAAAATGCTAACTAAACCCCCATGTTATACCGGAAATCTATGGGAAATCTATGGGATGATTATTGGGTAAACTAAGAGTTTGCTATTGAAAATGCTGATTTATACTGGATTTACCCATGAAAAATGGTGGATCTTTCCATAGCTATGTTAGTTTACAGAGGGTGAATGGAAAAAAAATAACTGGTTGGTGGTGCAATAACCATCTTGAAAAATATGGGTTCGTCAATGGGAAGGATGACATCCCATATATGAAATGGAAAATAAAATTCATGTTTGAAACCATCAATAAGCATAAAAATTGTGATTCTTGGGATGATTATTCAGCTTAGTTACCATATGCCATATGCAAATGGAAAAAAAAAAACATAGAAAACCCATGGGAAATCTATAGAAAATCTATGGGAAACCCAGTAATGATCCTAGCATCTATGAAAAATCTATCGGAAAATCGATGGGAAACGCAGTCCCAAAGAGGGATTGTCACATGGATTTTCTGGAAACCAAAATCTATAGTAAATGAGACCATCTATGTGGGAAAGCCAGTAATGAAATGTAATGAACCTACCATTTCGAAATGGTTTACACTTGTTGATGGGATGGTGGATTATTGGGTTTAGTTACCACATGATGGGGAAATCCATGGCAAATCGGGAAGTGATGGAGAAAATCTATGGATTGAGAGATTTTTCATTGAATAATCAGCTGTATGAATGGGATATAATGAAATTAAAAACTATCTATCCCAATTGGGATTGAGAGATTTAATAGTTCAACTATGGATTGATAAATTGATATCTATCTATTGGGATATAATGAATCAACTACTCAAGGATTACCCTCCAATAAATTAACATAGACCCTGGCATTTTTCGGGGTTGGAAGACTAGTTTCCACTATTTTTATTGGTCAGTTTCAGGGTCAACAAGTTAATTTACAAGAGGGCATGGTATATGAACTGTTCAGACACGATATCATCGAGAAAGGTATGGAAAACCCAACTGCGGCTTCCTGATCCTCAAAGTAGATCCGGGGTGCCGAGATTTTTTGAAAGGCGCAAAGGATGGCGAAAAGGATGAAAAAACCTGGGGTTTTCTAGGGAAATCCATGGGAAATCTATGGGAAGTGATGGGGAAAATCTTTCTAATGCCTCTGTTTTGGGATAATAAAATCGTTGGTTTGCAGTTCATGAATAAGTCATATATCAAGTCAACCTCATATCAATCGATCATGTGAATACTGGACTAGGGGATAGAATCTCCCCAAAAAAAACAGCGGATTCGATAGATTTGATATGGCAGGTGGTTTCAATGCATCATGTTCCAGAATCGGACTGACATGATCAGTTTCTCCCAAGTTGGTAGTTCTAGTATGTTATAGTGCGTCATGATATATCATTGTATCTGCTTGGTGGTATACGCCTACCCTTCTGAAAAATGATGGAGTTCGTCAGTTGGGATGATCACATTTCCCAATCTATGGAAATTCATAAAATTCATGTTCCAAACCACCCACCAGTTGTAGTTGATCATATCAATCATATCAATATCCCAACTAATTAAGGTTGATTTACCTAAAAATGGTGATTGTCCATAGTCATGTGAGTAGAATTCCTATGAAAATACGGGGGAATGACATGGAATGATCATCCCCAAATACCCGTCACCACGCCTCCCCTCCAACGCACCGATGCTTGGAGCCGGTGCAGCTGTTGCCAGATGGACATCCCATGAACATCCCACTACCCTCTGGTTATGTCAAAATAGCTATTGAAAATGGTGATTTATAGTGGATTTTCCCATTGAAAATGGTGGATCTTTCCATAGCTATGTTAGTTTACCAGAGGGTAATATCTATAGAAATGATATATGTAACATATGGATGTGTAATATATGATTATATATATATATCCATTAATATCAATATAAACTCTATATGAACATCCCAATATATCATTAACATCCCACTAATATCTATCAAATTTGCATCTTGCATCTTGACCTTGATATCCAATGTTCCCTAAAAATCAAAAAATCCCAGGAGCTCGTGAAATTTGATACTAGTATCCCAGTAGTAATCATTAATATCCAATTATTTGAGAAGTCATCTCCTTTGATGATTTCATGATCTGCATTCTGATGGTGGCTTCCTTTACCGTTTTCGGCACCAGAAAATGAGACACGTTACGCAACACGTCTAGAAATGTCTGATTTGAGGGGCATCCTTGACATCGTCTAGCCGTTGATGTTCTCCCAGTCCTGGAATCTAGTTTTGACCCTCACAGAACTGCATGGGAATCAGGTCTAGTCTAGCCACATGTCATTCCTTCCCCCTAAACCGAAAATTCACTACCCTAAGAACAGCTGTTATCATAAGGCCAGCTATGGGTTTGATTCCCATCCAGATCAAAAGATCCATCTGGGGGAAGGGATTGCAATCTCTCCTAGGATTTCCCTGGTAACTTGAGGAAGTTCAGCAACCGGCAGGCGCCCAGCTGCACTTTTCGGCAACTCTCTGGGATGGGTGTTCCCTGGTGTTTTTCATGTGAGTGCCCAAAAGCAGCCAAGAAAATCCAAGAAAATCCATCAAAGCAATGAATTCTTTCCCGAAATATGTTCGATTCGTTGTTTTTCATCCATAGCAATGATGTAAAAAACTGTAAAGAAAGCATCAGGGGCTACTCTCTGAGCTTTTGGGGCCATTCTCAAAACAGCTCTAACGGTTCTTGGTGAAACCACGAAGCCAGCTCTGTGACGACGGTCGCGTCATCAGATCGCATCAAAACATCCGGAACTGCATCGAATTTGGTCCAAATCCACTCCCCAACAACAATCAACAGCCATAAAATTGAATAAAATTCACAAAAACATGCATAATAATCGTTAGTTTGCATTGCATAAACAGAAACACGTCTATATATATATATATGTGTGTGTGTGTGATTATAATTGATGATATACGTATGATTACATACAGTGATTGTTGGCTTCCCCCTTGGAACAAATTTTGCCCATCGCTTTCTTCTTGGCCAAATTTCCGCCAGTCTTCCGGCTGGTACCCTCGGTCATGAGGATCTACGACGTAGAATCTACGCTTTGTCGGCCCAGGCCAGCGAAGAGATCGAGATGTCTTAGACGTTGCTGGAATCCATGGCTGCTATTTCTGGTAATGTGGGTAAAACAATGCCATAAACCATTCCCCAGTCATCACCAGTTTTATGGGTGGCATGAGGCATGTTTACCATTCCCAATCCTGGGTGGTTTATGATATAGTAAATTATGACATTAATTTTACGGCCAGGCGCTGTGTTGTGCCCGGAAGGTTCAAGTGGTGTTTAAACATGTTCGCTGCAACCCTGACGTTGCGCCGCATCCTACTTCAGGTGGCTATGAAACTAAAGTTGCTGGTATTATTACCCCAATCAACATGTTGTTCATAGGGGGTGGCGAATTTTCATGTGATGATGATCATGATGTGATGATGATGATGATGATGACGATGATGATGATGATGATGATGACGATTATAAGTGTGGAGCAACGTCCGGGTTGGGGCGAACATGTTTAAACATTATCCTTCAACATGCTCAAACACTGCGCAGGGCCAGTGTTTTGAGATTTCCCGGGCGACGAACCCTAAACCCTAAAACCCTAAACCATCCTAAACCCTAAAACCCCAAACTCTAAAATCCCAAACCCTAAAACCCTAACCCCTAAAACCTAGGCTCTGAAAACTTTGAATCCTTAACTGGAACACACTGCGTATCACTGCGTATTTTCTGCAATCTCTCCTATCATATATTCGACAGCACGACAGTCTCAATGTTAATGTCTGGGCAACACACGGCGTCTGTGGGTAATTTTACCCACATTAAATACCATCTGGTAAACGTTTACAAAAAACTATGGAAAATCATCATTTTTCATGGGAAAATCCACTATTTCTATGGTCATTTTCAATAGCAAACTGTTAAATTACCAGAGGGTACATCCTGTGACTTTCGCAAAATTTCACGAAGCCAGGGCCACCTGGTGGCCACCTGATGGCTACGACACCAACTGCGATAAGCGCAGCTGTAACACCTGGGGCCTCGGTTTGCGAAAAACCAGGTGGGCGCAGGAACTCAGTAAATCCAAAAGGAACAGGGACATCCACAGTGATATGGAAGAATTGTGGAAAATGATTTTAGGTATTCCCATCATTATGAGTATCTATAATATTATCATTATATTTTATCCATGGATATAAATCATTATCATCCACAGTGATATGGAATTGTTGGATTCATAATTCTGGGACATGTCGGGACATGGGATAACTCGAGGATTTGTTTCAAATGGGAGACCCCAAAATCATCCGAAATCGATGATGTAAAGAATAAAACCATATTTCATGGCAAAGCCTATGGTGCTTTTATTATTTTTTTATGTGGGACGGGCGCATTTTTAGAAAAACACCCAAATTGGGATCGGGCCGATGGGGTGATCATGTGCCATAGAGGTGACTGGCGATTTCCATCATTTCCATCGCCACATTTGATCACCAGAGGCGCCACGTTTTGATCACAGGATACCCTCTGGTAAACAGCCACATAACAAACTGGAAAGATCCACCATAGAAATTATGTGGAATTTTCCCATGAAAAAAAATGGTGGATCTTTCCAGTTCGTGAAAAACGTGGCTCTTTACCAGGCCGGGTATCCCATCCCATAGATTTTTTGCTGAAACGCCCAGCGTCATGGGGATGATTCCTGATGATTCCCCAAAGGAAACACCAGCGTCTGTGTGCAGGCAGCCACTAGGAATAAGAATCAGGATCTACATAACAAACTTTCAGAACAGAAGAATGGCCACGATCATCCTTGAATTTTCAGATCTCAACCAGATATCTAATATTATCTAATCAGGAATTCCTCACATAAACTAAGAAATCCTGGGGATTTCTATGGATTTCTATGTGATTTCTCCATGACATCCCCATTTCTTCCCAGATCTTCCCAGGATGCCGCACTGCACCGGTGGGGAAGCCCTGAGAGCTGTCGAAGAGACCAGGATAGAAACCGGTGGAATCCGTCCCCAGACATATGAAAACTCACGGTTCATGGGGTTCATGGCATGGAAATGGATGGAAATGGATATACCCTCCAGTAAATTAACATAGACCCTGGCATTTTTCGGGGTTGGAAGATTAGTTTCCATTAAAAATTGGGATTTTCAGGGTCAACAAGTTTATTTACCAGAGGGTAAATGAAAAAAACATGACATGTGAAACATTGTGAAACCATTTTCGTGCGGCCTGGTCTATATAATTCTATAGACTTTAACCACTCAATGCATAAGGACGACGCCTGGTCGGGGGGACACATCAATCCAAAGCTCCAGCGATGAATTTTGCCAGAAATCTGTTTGCACCCAAATCTCCTCTCTTCTTGGCCAGAATGTGCAGAATTTTCCACACAAATCATTATATCATCATTAAATCAACTTATTTTATATTATAATTAAATTATAATATTTATATATTATATGTTATATATTATATATTAAATATTATATTAAATATTATATATTGTATATTATATGTTACAACATATATGATATATTAAATATTATATATTTGTTATTATATATTATATATTATATATCATATATTTATATATTCTATAGACAATTACATATTTTGTACATACTACACATACACATGTCCAAGTGTTGCTCATTTCTTGGTGAAAATCCTCCACCCTTTCGTCCCAACACTGCACGTTTCAGGAGTTTGGGGCCGAAAGCACCAGGAAACCAACGGGAACATCCCAGTTTTCCATCTTGGAGGGCTTGGATATCCTCCAAGATTCATCCATTTTTCACCCAGGTTGGAAATGGAACTGGTGTATGATGGGGAAACAGGGAAACATCTCTTATTTGCCAATGACCAATCCGATTTCGATCCCCTCAATGGATGTTTTTCTTCTTCATCTAGTTGTTTTACCAAATAGTTGCAGTGATTCGTATCATGTGATTTTTGGAAAAGCGTATTTTTTTTCAAAGCGTCGCTACGCAAATCTCCACAACACCTTCCCGTTTTTTCTTGGGAACATGGATAAAAATGCTCAACATCCAAACCATCGGATGGCAATTCCATTTCTGGCACACCCAATGCAAGCCATGTTTTGCTGGTTAAGACCCACCTATAGGACCTATGTCATCCCATTTCTGTGGATGTGATCTTTTTGCGGTGTGGGATTCACATGAATATTCATACACCATGCTTTCCTACGGGATTTACACTTCTTTGGAGCCATGTTTTCTACTATCCAATCATTGATATAATAGTAGATATTTTACTATATCCAATGTTTTACTATATCCAATCATTGATATAATATCAATAGGATCCCAAAATGGATCAATGGATTATATCATATATCATATTTTCTACTATCCAATCATTGATATAATCCATTTTGGGATCCTATTTCTCGCGATGCCGAGAAATGGGGAAATGATCTCCTTCTTGGGGGATTGGAGAACATCCCCCTATCCCATTCATGTTCCAAATTATCATAAATTATCCCATTGATCGAGCTGAAAATTTATGCCATGAACAGTAACTAATGCGCTTAAAACAATTATAATAAAAAAACACCCATTTGGGTATGGGTCAATACCTATGGATACATTTTTAGTGGGATGAACATCCATAAATCCCAGCTATTTTGATGTGAACTACAGGGGTACAAGGTTTTGACACACTGCCATTTGGGAAGGGTTTGAATCCCACCCAAAAACATGGTAGTTTAACTGGGGAATAGTTGATGATTGTTTTAACCACATTACACCGATTTTTTACATGATTATGTGGATGTGTTTTTTCAATGGTGTAATGTGGTTTATTGTAAAAAAAAACAGTTTATACCACCCCACAATAAATATCAACCATAATAAAGTTGATGTTATTTCCCCATAAAAAAATGGTGGGAATAGATTATACCACACTACCCTCTGGTAAACGTTTACATAACGAACTGGAAAATCACAATTTTTCATGGGAAAATCCACTATTTCAATGGTGGATCTTTCCATAGTTATGTTAAATTACCAGAGGGTATTCCATGTCATTCCCCCATTTTCATAGGAATTATACTAACATGACTATGGAAAATCACCATTTTTACTAGGTAAATCAACCATAGTTGGGATATTGATATGATTTTTACTAGGTAAATCACCATTTTTACTAGGTAAATCACCATTAAACCCCATTAAAACCCATCTCTCTGGATCCGGGTCGTTTTTTTCTCCCCACCGAGGGACTCTTGGGCCACGCCCAGCGGTTCTTCTTCCTTCACGGCCTCGAACCTGTCCGGTTCGTCCTGAAACTCATGGCAGTGAGGTTGGAGGTTGGAGGGAAACGACATGGAAAAAACATGAAAAAAACATGTTTTTTAAAAGATGTCTTGAGACGTTTCAAATAAGAAAATTGGGATTGAGAGTAATTATTGTTTTTTAGATGGTCTGAAGCCGGAAATGATGGTTTTTCTCAGACAAATGCCAAGAGCACTGTGGGTCTTACACGGCAAACATTGGCTTTCAACTGGCATAATTCATGTGGTTTGAACCAAGGAAATGGAGGTTGGGCACCGCTCAGCAAATCTTAATCTTTGATTGCGCATGCGTAGAAAACGATGCAGCGAGGTTTTTGTTTGCTTGACCTGCTCTATCAATGCTTGAACTGTTAAAAGAACAAATAAGACTACAAACCATACATATATATATATATTATGCCATATATATTATAAGCCATATATTATATGCCATATGCATGTATATATATATATATATATGTGTGTGTGTATATGTATATATGTATATATTATATATATATACAGTAATGGAATGGAATGGAATGAAAGACGACATCTTTGAGCCACCTTTTATACAATCGAGCCCGGTCAATTGGGATCATCCGTCAGAAATCGCGAAGATCATCATCAATATGTTGGATAAATCAACCATAAACACCATATATAAAATTACCATAATACCAATTGAATTGATAAATATTATGTTGAATGGATAAATTAATATAAATTACATTTTTTTTAAAAAAAAATATGTTAAATATATATTGTTATATATCACCATCTTTAAATGAAATTGGCAATTGTCCATCGCTATGCCACAAATTACCAGGGGGTACCAAAGGTTTACATCTTTGATCCATGCCCCTCACACTCCGGTCCGCTCCGGTCCTCCTCGAAATCAGGTGCGGACCTTCCTAAGAGATGCATGAGAATTGGACACAAAAACGACTCCCAAGCGACCCACAAGCGACCCAAAATGCGGATGAAAACAGGGAAAACAAGGCATGCGTATCTTTACTGCTTCTATGGACACAAACTCAACAGCTGAAAAAGTTTGATTTTTTGTTTTACCACGACTTGATCATACTAATTTTCAAATATAGGTGAGTTATAATATAATTTAACTTGCTCACATGTTGCTCATACTATCAACATTAATTCCTACTAATCACTCGGTAATCATTGGCACTATGTATAGTACTTACTAATAATCATTAACATCAATAATCACGTAGAAATCATGACTATATTTCATGACTCATCATTACTCTCTGGTAATTCAACATAGCTATGGAAAATGGATGAACATGGCCCATTAGATTCCATTAAAATCCCATTAAAATCCTATTAGATTCCATTAAAATCCCATTAAAATCTCATTAGATTCCATTAAAATCCCATTAAAATCTCATTAGATTCCATTAAAATCCAACTAAAAATTCCATTAACCCCCATGAAACCACCATGACATCACCGTTAACATCACCGCTTGAACCTTCAACGCCAGGGGGCCGAAGGCGCTTTGGATCCTCCCGATGATCTGCTCCAAGAGGCGCCTTGAACGGTCAAGGGGATGAATCAAGCGATGTTTACCAAGTCATCTATATGTAAGGGCTATGTAAGGGAATATCCCCACAAAACATAGCCTTATATATATAGATAATACCATGATATTTATTTATGAAAGATATATTGCTCCATGGCTATGTTCAATTTTCTAATGGGATTTCATATGTATTATACTACCTATATGGGAATTTAATGAGACCTTAATAATCATGATTATCTATGTTAATGGGAATTTATATACAGTAACTATGGGATTTACAGTAGTGTAATTTCGGATTTCATAGGAATTCCAGTATGGGATGGAATGACCATGTCACATACCCTCTGGTTATGACTAACAGTTCGCCATGGTTAAGTCATGGCCCATAGAAATAGATGGTTTACCGAACTTAAAGATGGGTGATGTTCCATGGCTATGGTCAATTTTCTATTGGATTTAATGGGAATTTATATAACTATGGGATTTGCTCTGGGATTACCATATCATATTAGTATATGTCATCTATTATTATAGATCCAAAAATAAGATATACCCTCTGGTTATGACTAACAGTTCGCCATGGTTAAGTCATGGCCCATAGAAATAGATGGTTTACCGAACTTAAAAATGGTGATGTTCCATGGCTATGGTCAATTTTCCTATAGATCAATAGATGGTATTATCCGATAACTATGGGCCAAGATGGGTAGATGGTTTCTGGTGATGGCTATGGTCAATTTTCATATTAGTAGTATGTCATCTATTATTATAGATCCAAAAATAAGATATACCCTCTGGTTATGACTAACAGTTCGCCATGGTAAGTCATGGCCCATAGAAATAGATGTTTACCGAACTTAAAGATGGTGATGTTCCATGGCTATGGTCATCATTATGGGTACTCTGGGATTACCATATCATATTAGTATATGTCATCTATTATTATAGATCCAAAAATAAGATATACCCTCTGGTTATGACTAACAGTTCGCCATGGTATAGATGGCCCATAGAAATAGATGGTTTACCGAACTTAAAGATGGGTGATGTTCCATGGCTATGGTCAATTTTCTATTGGATTTAATGGGAATTTATATAACTATGGGATTTGCTCTGGGATTACCATATCATATTAGTATATGTCATCTATTATTATAGATCCAAAAATAAGATATACCCTCTGGTTATGACTAACAGTTCGCCATGGTTAAGTCATGGCCCATAGAAATAGATGGTTTACCGAACTTAAAGATGGTGATGTTCCATGGCTATGGTCAATTTTCTATTGGATTTAATGGGAATTTAAATCATCTATGGGATTTACTCTGGGATTACCATATCATATTAGTATATGTCATCTATTATTATAGATCCAAAAATAAGATGTACCCTCTGGTTATGACTAACAGTTCGCCATGGTATAGATGGCCCATAGAAATAGATGGTTTACCGAACTTAAAGATGGGTGATGTTCCATGGCTATGGTCAATTTTCTATCGGATTTAATGGGAATTTATATCATCTATGGGATTTACTCTGGGATTACCATATCATATTAGTATATGTCATCTATTATTATAGATCCAAAAATAAGATATACCCTCTGGTTATGACTAACAGTTTGCCATGGTATAGATGGCCCATAGAAATAGATGGTTTACCGAACTTAAAGATGGGTGATGTTCCATGGCTATGGTCAATTTTCTATTGGATTTAATGGGAATTTATATAACTATGGGATTTGCTCTGGGATTACCATATCATATTAGTATATGCCATCTATTATTATAGATCCAAAAATAAGATATACCCTCTGGTTATGACTAACAGTTCGCCATGGTTAAGTCATGGCCCATAGAAATAGATGGTTTACCGAACTTAAAGATGGGTGATGTTCCATGGCTATGGTCAATTTTCTATTGGATTTAATGGGAATTTATATAACTATGGGATTTGCTCTGGGATTACCATATCATATTAGTATATGTCATCTATTATTGTAGATCCAAAAATAAGATATACCCTCTGGTTATGACTAACAGTTTGCCATGGTATAGATGGCCCATAGAAATAGATGGTTTACCGAACTTAAAGATGGGTGATGTTCCATGGCTATGGTCAATTTTCTATTGGATTTAATGGGAATTTATATCATCTATGGGATTTACTCTGGGATTACCATATCATATTAGTATATGTCATCTATATATTATGTAAATCGATAGGTATCTATATGTTCATGTATTCAATGGGAATTTCAGGATCCTAAACTAGAGGTACCTACCATACATAAGGCCTATGTAAGGGCTATGTAAGGGAATATCCCCACAAAATATAGCCTTATATGGTACAGTACCTCCATTTTAGGATCCTGAAATTCCCATTGATATATTACCCTCTGGTAATTTGACATAGCTATTGAAAATAGATATTATATCTGGTTGGTGGTGTCAACCCCTCTGAAAAATATGAAAGTCAGTTGGGAGTATTATTCCCAACATATGGAAAAATAAAAAAGATGTTCCAAACCACCAACCAGATTATATGTAATGTACGTGTACATGGGTATCTAAATATACTTATTGTTAATTACTACTATTATTGTTCTTAGTTAATTGTTAATTAGTATTATTATATGATTATATATATGTGCGTGTGCATGTGTGTATGTAATGTACATGTATCTACATATATATGACTATATATATATATATATCTCTATCTATCTATATGACTATTCATTTATACATACAGGCGCATATCGTATAAGTGGATTAAGTGGATTGGTGTGTGGAAATATCTTTGAAAATCTTGGAAAATCATGGAAAATGGGGAGTCGATCATCAACAATTAGGATTCCTTCTGGAAAAACAAACCTGGCGGGCAACATCCAGCCCAACATTGTAACATCTGTGGCAACAAATCAAGTCATGAAACTACCGACCACTTTGGAATAACTCCCAGAAACATATATCATTTCCAATATTTCCAATATTTCCAAGCCCACTACTTAGTAGTGTGAATGCCTGGAATGTTCCTTGTTATAATAAGAAAATTGCGTACAATGATCATTTCAAGAAATCATTATCGCGATGATCCTGATCAAATGGAATGGCCATCCAGAAGAATAATTGAATAAAACCTGGAAAAGGATCATCTAAGTTTACCATTCATGTACTGTGTGTATGTATACAGAACAAATACCATCTGGTTATTTAACATAGCCATGGAAAATCACAAATTTTAATCGGTACATCATCTATTTCTATGGGTCATGTTCCATAGCTATGTTAAGTAACCAGAGGGTATATAAAACCTGGAAAAATGATCATCTATCATCTACCAAAACCCCTTGTGATTCCTATTTAGTGGTTGTTGCCATGATCTCCTCCATCAAATTGCTATTCAGAATGGGGTGTTGTTTTTTTTTGCTACCCCATTTAAGGACAAATGAGGCAATTTGCTAGATAATATCTAAGGTCTTATGATTAAATCATGTGAAATCCAGATTTAATCTGTTGACTGGTGGTGTATGTCAGTTGCCGTGATTCAACCATGAACAAAAGTTGTAATTAACCATTGCACAAAAGCATGTCAAGTCCCAATTTTGATAGATGATACCCCAATTTGTAGTTGTTGCCAATATGTTCTCTCTTAAAAATTCGCAAATTAAGGTGAATCATCATGCAATTCTTCAATAATATGATGATATATGATGATATACATATTCTAAATCAAAATTCTCATAGATAACGCTTTTTGATGTGGTGTCATTACCCTCATCCAACATGGCGTTGCAGGAAAATCCACTACGTTGATTTTCACATCTATAAACCTCCATTTTATCATACAAGTGATTTTCCCAGTGGGATTTCTCCCTTTTTATCTGCAGATTTTCCATCATCCCAAATCATCCCAACTACAAGTGATGGTCCCATGGATTTCTCCATGGATTTTTGGATTTCTCCATGATTTCCCCATGGATTTTTGATGGATTCCTCCATTTTTCCTGGGGATTTCCCATGTTTTCACATCTCACCGAGACGCAGGTCCTCAGCGTTGCCAGCGTCCCGCGCCAGGCGCCGAATCATGACCTTTTTGTTGAAAACCCTGGTGATTCATATCGTTTACCCTCTGGTAAACTAACATAGCTATGGAAAGATCCACCATTTTGTAGCTGGAAAACTCACTATTTCGACTGGGCCATTTTCAATAGCTATGTAACAAATTACCAGAGGGTAGCATATATATATATTACATAGAGATATATAGAAGCATATATGTTTTTAAATACAGAGAGAGAGAGAGATATGGAGATATATAGATATAAATAGAGACATAGATATTAATCATCAATATATGTCAACCCGGATACTCCTCGAAATATTCCTATAATAGGTTTTATGGTGATAATATACATCAGATCATGATAATCATCAATATATGTCAACCCGGATATTCCTCGGGATATTCCTCGGTCCTAGGTTTTATGGTGATATGATGAATGATCAATGATAACCGTTGAAGGACTCCTATACCATGAATTGTGAGATACTATACGTTATTGCTAGACATTAGGGATTGGCTTAGGGATTGCTTACACTACTATCTGCTAACATATTTTAATGTATATTAGATCCCCAAGTAAAATCGAAGCTGATCCCTAAGTTAAGATAGAGTTTCTGAAAAAAAAACTAAATAGTGATAAATCACGATGAATAGTGATAAAATAGTGATAGTGATAAATAGTGATAAATCACCTTGCTATCTTTTAGGGGAAAACTATAGCTTATAATGTACCGTCCCACTCGTTTTGCTTTTAAAGTTTTGGGATCGGCTTGGCCAAAAACAAAACAGTGGTGAAGTGAGATTCGAATGTATGATTCTAGTTATTTTGTTAATCCTTGAAATGGTAAGATATGGATAGATATGGTAAGTCCTGGTCAGTCAACCACTAGCCATCCATTGTTATATCTAGTTGGCATCCCAATCATGTTATTCAGAGCCTAGTTATTGGCTATGGCTATATCTATCCCATCCCAATCTATTGTTATATCTAGTTCCCATCCCAGCTGATATATCCCATCCCAATCATGTACATCTTAAAGAACCTATGGTATGACTCTGTAGTGATATATCATGATGTAACAATGTAACATGTCAAATCACCAATCTAGAAACTAACACAACTATGGAAAATCGCCATGTTTAATGGGTAAATCCACTATTTCGACTGGTTCATTTTCCAGTTCGGGATGGCATGGGATATCTCGGATGCCGGGTCACCAACAGTGATCGGAGGTTCATCACCTGTAATGCCCTGAGCCAGACCTGCCGGGCGGTGTTGAAGGGGGAACTCTTGTGACCAAACAAATCACGGAAAAATTTCGGAAAAATCACCCTTTTTTGTAGGTAAATCATGATAAATCCATGGTAAATTCATGGATAAATCATGGTAAAGCATGGGTAAATCATAGGTAAATCATTGGTATGTAAATCATGGTAAATCACCTACAAATTGGGTAAATCATGGGAAAATCATAGGTAAATCATTGGTATGTAAATCATGGTAAATCACCTACAAATTGGCCATGTTGAATAGCTATTGTAAGAAATTACGAGGGCCTGCGGGAAACTTTGCAGGAGATCACTCTCTTTACCTACAAACTACAAAGATGCCATTTTGTTGTGCTGCCATTTTCTTGCTTGAACCAAGTCTGGGACCATCCTCCCGCCTCATCCAGTCTTAAACTTAAGCCTGCACATCTCATAAGCGCACATATATATATATATATAGAGAGAGAGAGAGCTCTGCCATGCTATACCTATACAGATACCTATACAGATACCTATAATGTCTATGGTGTACAAGAAATACTATCATCATTTGGGCATCGCCCCTCAGCATCCTCAAAGCATCCCCCCAACCAATCCGTGACGATGACCCACTTCGACATGTTTGTAACTTATATACATACCAATTTAAATCATCACACTATACAAATAACATCAAAAAAATACTTGCGTATATATATATATATATATGTACATACATAGAAGGAGGGAGAGAGAGAGAGAGATATATATATATACTCATGAAAAATGATGCTCTCCCATATATTTATCATCCCAACATCCACATCCATCGGCTCCTGACCTTCTTATCGCGTCCACTGTCCTGGTCAGAGCTACTGGACCCGGTGGAACAGGTGGACGCCGCCAGCCGAGAGGAGGTGGCCGTAGCGGAGCCAGGCCGGGCCACGTCCACAAACATCAGGCCGGCCTTAAAGGGCGATCTCTAGGAATCTTTAAGGATTCTTTAAGGATTTGGATGATGAGTTTAGATGAGTTTAGATGATTTATGAATATTTATGATGGTTTGTGGAGAATTCTTGATGCTTCACGATGGTTCAACCATGGTTCTTAAGGATGTGGACAAGCACACAGAAGGTGTTTCACAAGAGGTAAACTTCAACATTCTCAAACAATTCTTAAATATCTTAATGGCCAGTGAGGCCATTAACCACCCTTTGAGAGGTGAGAAAAACTTCACCGTCAAAGTAAGCCACCTTGAATGACGCCCTGGGATGGGAAATCTAGAGGAACTGTGGAATCTTCTCCGTGTAAATTCTGGGAATCTAGGGTGAAAACTGCCGGAAACATATCATTATTTTTCCATACACTAGAAAAACCTTGGTTTAAACATCTAAATGATGGATACAAAAAATATTTAATCCTCCTTTGGGAGTCCTGCAATTTTCCCAACCAAGTCTGACAAACAAGATGGAACTGGGAAGAAAGTACCAAAAAACAAACAGAATGTATGAAATCTGGCTGAAATACTCATTCACTCGCCTATAGCTGAAACTTGCGGCCAACTATGGGGATGATTCCCCGAATCCACTGACAACATCATTCCATTCAGAAAACGACGGTTGTTTGGTCACCGATGAGATATGACTCTGAGATATTTAGAATCGAAAAAAAAAACAACACGTATATATGGATACCAAAAACATGTTCAAAATGTTTTAAAATCACCCCAACGTGTCTTAAAAACTGAGAGCAAAAAATGATCTGGGTTTGTCTGAAAATAGTGTACCCCTACACCCAATGGTTAATGATCATTATCCCTACTAAATGGCTATTTCATTGGGGGTATACCCCATTTTCAGACAGACCCATCTAATTTCATGAGTGCTTTATGTGGTCAAAACATGAGATGACCAGCATGACCCCACCGGATCCTGGTTAAAAACCCCAGCCCGAACTGTGCAGACACGAGACGTTTCGCGCCAGCTGCTCCAAAATCTGCAGCACATCCTAACAGACTCCGGTCAGACTCCAATTTTTGGTGAAAACCCCGTGTTTTGTTGATGGAAATCTCATGTTCGTTGGTAAAAATCTCCCAGATTCTCTCACCTTTCGAGAAAGGGCGACATTGGTCAGTCCTGATTTTCGGTCCATTCAGTCCATTCCTGAAAAAACTATTTGTTGGTTCATGGTTCGCATCCTGAAATGTTCCTGGATTTGCAGGTTGGCTGCTGCAAACTCCTGCGGGTGAAAGCTCCAAATTTTGGTGCTAAGTTCTGTGGTCCAAAAATCCCATATGACTTTGCTCGGGATCCAAATCCGGCTGCAGCCATTGTCCAACATTGTGGAAACTATAGCCTGGTTTCCGTTGGGTACTCATTATACTAGTTGGTTGAAAAATATGTCCCTACTATGGCGTATCATAATCCCCAGTAAAAACGCTAGTCTAAGTCCCAGCACATTGACCAATCAACCAGGCTATTTTTAATGGCTCAGTTCACCTCCATGATTAAACCCTTCCCTTTAATATTAAACACACCCCTAGAAGCCATGGTTTAGTCGGGAATTTCCACATCATTGGGACCATAAATATGGATGTTTTTAGATGTTTTTAGTATGAACCGGAGAATGGGATTAATTATGATTATCATTATTGATCTTTAACTATGATTAGCCTGGGCTAAAGTATCATATTTCACTCAAGTATCATACTTCACTATACCCTCCAATAATGGTTAAGTATCATCATTATGTCACTGACCCTTGACATAATGCTTCACTAAAAGCTGCTTCATTCGATTAAAATCCCATTCAAATCCCATTCAAATCCCATTCAAATCCCATTAGATTCCATTCAAATCCCATTGAACCCCATTCAAAATGTCATTCAAATCCCATAAGATGTTCCACCCCCAGCGATTTTTATTCCGCCCAGGGCACCATTTTGATCTCCGCCATGTTCACCGCCGTGTCCGTCGCGGCAAGCTCCGTGTCCACGGCCGCAACCGCAATCGCCGCCTCGAGGCCGTCCGGCTGGTCCGGCTCCGCTGGCTCCGCCACCGGGGAGCCACATTCCTGGCGGAGGAAGCTATGGAAATATGGGGGTTTAATGGTAAACTAACATTAATGGGATTTAATGGGGTTTAATGGGATATTTTGATATATTTTGGATATATAATGATATATAATAGATATACCCTCTGGTAAGTATGGTGAAGTTTGGGCTATTGCTGATATAAATTGATAATCTCATATATAACTCATATATAACTATGAGGTAGGGTAATAGATACATAATCTACAATATTACATAATCATATGATTACATATATATATATGTGTGTGTGTGTGTCAGTGATCATATATGTATAGACATCTAGATAGTTGCTATGAAGACATACTTTCGATATGCTGTAGACAATTTAGGGAGACATTTTGGAGATCGTGAGTTCGTTGTTTGGCAACGGAGGGACCATCGACCGATCCCCTGTTCAACCCAAGGTACTTAGGGGTGCATCCCGCTTAATAAATGGCTTATACACCCAGTTCAGTGTGGAATATCCCCACTTATATATGGTATACAAAGTTTTTTTTTTTAAAAAAAAAACTATATATGGATTTTACACCACTTATATACTATAATCATCTATAATCCATATATAACCATGTATTACCCATATAATCCCATATATAAGGGCGGATATGCCATAAAAAACTGGGGGTAAAGGGAGCCCCTCTTTCCCTCAGCGACCTGTTCCGTGTTGGCATCGGCTTCTACGGCCACTTCACACAGGGAACTCAACTTCTCCTCGAGAAAGTTGCGGGACCTTACCTTTGGAAAAATATACCGGGATTAATGTTCGTTGGTTACTATAACCATAAGCTATTATAGTCACTATATATAATTATATATAGTTTCCGTCGTTACTGCAGTACCTGTGGTTACTATACTTACGGTGTTTTTTTCCTTGCTTTGTTTGCACCCCTCCATTAAAACAATAGTAGCTGTACGTAAGAAAAGATGCATTCACCACACAAATCCTGATTATTGCAGTTCTAAAAGAAACTGAAAGTCAACTGCAGATTGAGCTAAACCATGCTAAACCCATATACTGTTGATCGTTGGGGGGTGCCAATTTCGTGGGGAATGACATCACTATTTGGGTGGTACCCAACAAATAACGCTTTCTGCAATCAAGGTTTGACATTTGGACAGTGATGATAAATCGGAGGCGAACACCATCACTTTTCAACCATTTGCAATCCATTTACCATCCCAAAAATGGTAAATTTCCATGTAATAATGTTCATCATCCCCATCATCTGCTGCTATCCTGAGTATTCGGAATGATCCTCAGATCCATAATCAATGGTTTAAGGGGAAATTTACAGGAAAGCCCCATATAAAAAACGGGAAAATCGATGGTTTCCGGCTAAGATTTTCCCAACAAAACCAATCCTCAGATCCCTAAGATGTCATCATCCCATTCCCATCTTCCCATCACGAAACGTCAGCACCACAGCACATCTTGATTTCCGATCCTCGGCCAGGGCGGCCACCTTTGACGCCAAAATGGGCACCACCACCTCGGCTCCAATGTGAGGCAGATTCTCCCCAGAAACTGACCAAAGAATAGCATAAAAAATGATATATATATATATATGTTCATTTCTCAACGGCTGCAGAAGACGCCCCGCTTCTTTTTCGCGGGGCACACCTGAAGGTGACGATGGCCGCTATGCTGAGTCTGCTGCCACCACTCAAGTCAAGCAAATGTTCAAGTCAAGCAATTGTTCAAACGCTGGAATTGAGTGGTTATGTCATCAAGCTAAGGGGCTGTTTATCAGGTTTACTGTTTAACTGCCCCATTGTGGTGGTTGGGGATGGTGGTGGTCAAGCCAAATCTCTGCAGCCGGTAGACGGCATCAAACATGAGTGGGTCATGTTCATTTCTCAACGGCTGCAGAAGACGCCCCGCTTCTTTTTCGCGGGGCACACCTGAAGGTGACGATGGCCGCTATGCTGAGTCTGCTGCCACCACTCAAGTCAAGCAAATGTTCAAGTCAAGCAATTGTTCAAACGCTGGAATTGAGTGGTTATGTCATCAAGCTAAGGGGCTGTTTATCAGGTTTACTGTTTAACTGCCCCATTCCCAATCTTCCCAACTTATCCAGTGTGAAAAACAACCGAATCATGGACGTGAATCGCGTGGTGGCATTTGAGCACGAGGCCATCGTTGGCCAAGCAAGGGACTTAGAATTGTGCCAATGATGATGCATAAAAGGTGAACAGTCAGCTCAGTGATGCTGTTTGACGGCATCACTATGTAGGGGCTGTTCGTTGGATAAGCTATGGGCACCTCTCGGTTTTCGGGTGGTGTGGCCAACGGCGTGGAATCAAGCTGATCGGCAATTTCTTCAAGCACTGCATCAAACACCATGGCAATGGTGCCCACGCCATGTCTGATCAACTTCTTGATTCCAGCGACCATAAGCTTATTCAAAACGTAGTACAACTTAGGCCTACTAAGCAATACACCTATTATGATAAAACAAAACAGGCTAATGCAAACACGTCCCTTCATCTTGGTGAACAACCAACATGCAAAGGCTTTGCCACCGTACAAAAATCTGGTGGTGATTCCGGGGACTGCAGCTACACTCGTGTGGTGATATCTTGAAGGCTCACTACTTCCGATGGCCAAGGTCTTAGCAGCTATCATTCTCTTGGCAAACTGCTGAAAGCGAACGTCGCCTCGATAACTTCGAGCCGCCTTGACCAGGTCTGCATTGCTAACATCTGTGTAGTGGGCGCCCTTCAAACTGCCCCCCTCGATCACCACTTTCTTAAACTGCTTCCTGAGTTCCAGTGCGCTCCCCCCATCTTCTACAGGCTCGGCTGACATGTTCTCTGGGCCCGACTGCAAGGGGTGCTAGGCTAACTAGCTGAGCACTGGGAAGCTTGAGCTCAAGAAACTTGGGCAGTGACAAAAGGAAAGCGTGTTGGTTGACAAACTGTGAGATTCTTTCAGACGTCTGGTCTTCAATTGAAAGGAGTAATTGCTGCGATCGGGCCACTTGCACATAATGTTCTAAGGAACGCAAATTGGTCCACCTACCTTCAAACCGTAAGCGACCGATATCACTTGAGGTCTGATCCACGTGCCATGTTGCGCCCCCTGCCCTCAAACTGGCAGGGCTGAACTTACAGTGTGCAATGCCTAGCTTGTCGCAGCATATCTTGAAAAATCGCCTGAACTTCTGCTGTGATCCGGGCCAAACTGCGCTCCCACTTGTTTTTCGATCATGGATCAACCAAACAAGCCAGTCTCCTACGTCAGGGTGCTTGACAGTGGTGTACTGGTGACGCCCCATCTGTCTTGCATTTTTGGGTGAGCGGATCCTCAAAACGGCAAATGGGCTTCCAAGAGATATAGCATTAGGCAAGCTAACATCTTCGCAGCGCATGTTGAAGATCTCTCCAGGTCGGAGTAGGCCGAAAAAGCCTACACCTATCAGCACTGAAAAAATCCACCACAGCCGTTTGTCTTGCTCGATCTCGCTCTGGTATCCCAGAATTCTTGACTGACATATCATGGCTACTAGTAAAGTGATAGGCAGAGGAGCCCGGAAGCCTGCTGGCCGGAGCTCTTCCCAGGAATTCAGGTGACTCCATGTCTCAGGTAAGTTCCTGCGGAGCCTTGGTTGCCAGATTTGAAGGAAGAGCACGGCATGCTTTGCCATCCTAAGCATCTTGCTCGGATCATTCTCATGAAGCTCTTGAACAAACGCTGAAGCAAGCTCATCCACCTGGCTGGCTTTTGCTCTGGAAAGTTTTCGAAAGCTTGCATTGTGCTTGTACAGAAATATGCCTAACAGTTTTCCAGATTCCAACAGCCTCTTTCGATAAGCTGCACTGTACTTGCTCCACCGGAGGTGGGTGACTTCTGGCAGATCTTCCATGGCGGCGACATGCACTAATTGAAAAAACTATCTGTACATCTGTGTCAATAAAAAACTATTCATGCAGAGCTTTGTGGTGGTCAGTGATGGTACGATTCAGCTAGTCAAACATACGTGAGATGATCTTGGCATATGCATTGCAAAGAGCCTGCGGATAGGCTCCGGCAAGAGTGGACCTTCGTGTCCATTTGCCTTCGTGCTTGACCCCTCCCATGACTGCGACATGCTGGTGATTGCGAGCACACTTACGATGCAACCTGTCAAGGTAGGGCAACGTACCGGCAAAGACTGTGGGTTTTTTGGCCAACTCTAACTTACCAGCTCCGTTAGGGATCAAAAGATTAAAACAGCATTGATCTAATCTTACCTCCTGTGATCCTGTGTCATTGCGTAACTTTATATACTCTGGCATTTTCCATGCATATGACGAACCAGGGTTTTCTAACGTGAAAAAAGATCCATTTTGATGCAACAACTTACACAACCAAAGGGTCCTTCTCATGATCTCATTTCCAACGACTTCTCTCTGCACAGTGCCGTCACCCGCTGGATTGTCATGAGTGCGGGTACCTTGATTTAAGTGCTGAAGCTGACTAAATGAACCACAAGGAAATTGAGCTGTGCCTGCAAAGATCTCACGGAAGCTCCACACTTTTGCTGCAGGGTGATTTCTCGAGGTCTCGCTTCTCACATCAGATGGGCCATTGAGACGGTGCAAAGCATGGCTATCTCCTTCGACCGCACAGTCATGCTCGGAGTGGATCTTCTTCCAGATGTCTTTCACGGATCTGTGTTGTCTAACATGTTTGAGATCAGGACCGAGCACTTCCTGTGTATATGTCGAAGGTGGGTCAACTGGCTTGGGAATCTCCCGGCCTCTTGAGGGGTGGTCGGCCGGATTCGCCTCAGATCTAACCCATATGACATGGATTGATTTTCTGCCAGCTATTGTCCATCCAAGGCTTCTCCGGAGCAAACGATTTAGCTGTCTCGACGATGAACGGCCTTTGGCCCATGCACCGGCAGCGGCACGTGAATCAACAACTAAAACACATCTTTGTGGCCGATGGCATGAATGTACAATGTCAACTAGTTCACGGTATATCATGCGTGTTTCAAGTATGTTGATATGCTGTTTGTGTGCAAAGGTGCAGCTTTCAGTGCTCACCCAAGGGTGATCGCCAAGAATCGCTTCAAGTTCACTGGGAGCACGAGACATCGAGCTTTCCGGTATGAGACCTCCATGCGTCCAGTCAAGTCGAACATGTTCGCCCTTATGCTCTGCAAAGCGATAAAGGGTTTGGGCAAGCGGTGTTGTGGTCCATGCAGCCGCTCGCCCTCCCCCACTTAGTGATGCATCACTACAACCTATTCTGTTGGAGATCTCCCACCGGATGTTGGCTTCTGCAACCGGTAAAACTAAGGTGCACCAAATGAGCTCCTCTCGAACTGCTGGGGGCAGAGGTTTGGAAATCTTATCATCTAGAGTCTCAACCCATGTGAAAGTTTCTTGAAGTAAACACATCAAACTACGTCTGTGCATAAAAGGATGTATTAACAAGCCGGTTACTTGTTGCAACATCTTTTTGGACACTCTTGGTAATTTCAAGACTTCTAAAATGACTCTTCCTAGCTGGCAGAGCTTCTTGAGCGGGGCGCCAACCCTGCCCGAGGCACTGTTGACCTCTGTTCCCCAAGCAACAAAGTTCTCGGACTTCTCGAACGCTTTGGAAGCTGAAGTGGGAATTCCATGTTTGGCATACTGGGCTCGGCTGTTGGCGATTATGGTCTCGTCTCGAAACTTTTCACCCTTTTTTCTATTTTTCTTTTTGGGTAATATCTGAACGGTCACATGATCATCTATGTACAAACCCTCATAGCAATGGGAAGCGGGGACGACATGCTTATAGCTTAACACTTCGCTAGGTTGCATACAATGGCAATCTCGGAGGATTTCGACATGCACTTGCTGAGCGATGTCGACTGCATTCAAATCACCCATTGCTACCACGCAAAATGAAAGCAGATATTTTCGACCCTTTACTCCCCCGAAAGCTTCAAAACCTTCACCATCAAACACAGATCCAATAGCGTTTCTAGGAAGCCAGTTGGGGTTATGTTTGAGCAAGTAAAAGTAATTTGAAAGGTCATCACCCGACCCCCTTATACTATGACCCTTGGGAAGGATTAACTGGGTAAGAAGACAACCATGAGGTAGTTTTGCCCAAACCAACCGTCTTTCAACTTGATTAAATGGTCTCCTATCAAGAATGATACGGTCACTATGCTCTTTGTGATTCACTGCGAACAGCCCGCCCGTCAAAATCTTCCCGTCTTCACCTCGCACTGCCAATTCTTCTGGCAGGAGAACGGCTACACCGGATTCGAGAAGCTTCCTATAGACTCCTGGCAAATCTTCATCTAGAACTTCGAAACATCCTTTGACTGGAGGTTCGTTAGTGTTTTCAACTGGAATATGTTCAGGCATCGTCCTAAACTGCTCAAGCTGGGAACCTTTTAGGAAGTCTTGAGGCTCGATGATTCCGGCCTTGCTGGGTAATGACATGCGGTCGGGTTTCACATTTTTGGCCACTTGCTGCATGGTACCATCTACTTTATGACCTTGGTAAGCTGAGGACTTTACAATTTTTACTAATTCGCTTAATTTCAGTATTCCGCGACTGAGGGATTGGTCTTCATCTCTCATGCGAAGATACCTATTAATTTGTTTATGCAAACAGCCAGCATATTCCGAATGGGTCGACGTCCAGGTGGTGTTTCTAGCTCGTGCAACGAGTTCCTTCTGATCAGCTGCTTTGAACGGACTACCACCCTCAAAGAAAGTAAATAATGCCCATAGCACCTTTACCCATTCCCATGCTTCTCGATGGCCTCGTCCTCGTGCCCGACAACGCGCACTTCTAGACCGCCGGAGTGTATCCGGAATTGCTAGCAAGGACGGAAAAAGCGACGTGCATCCCTTGTCAACTAAGGGTGTCCTAGGCCCCGACCCCTTATCACAACTATCTATGTTAGGGGACTTCTCCATATTAATTAACTTCAAAAACCGGCCAAAAGAACCCCAGCTCTTATAGGCCTCTTTGAGGCACGGATCTACTTCAAACGGCTTCGCATTCGAAGGTGTCTCCGTGCAGAGATTGGCTTCACTCTTCAGGCCTCCGTCTTCTCGGCCTCTTTGGTCTTGCTCTTGCCTTTTCCCTTTGGTCGATTTTTCGGCTTCTCCTCTTCGGCATCTTCTTCGCGATGCTGACTTTTGCGTCTCAGTTGCTCGGAGCTCTTGCTGAGGTCCTGCATGCTCCGCACATACGCAGTCACGTGCTGCAGAGCAGTGGCGTCTCCTCCCCACTGCTTCGTCTCGTACGGATCTTGAGTGCAAGTCAACAGCCATGCCACTGTCCAATCTGAGTCGATGGCAGCCTGGTGGAGCGCTTGCAGGCACAGAGTCACTTGAAGAGCTGCTTCGGCATAGTCCTCCCGAAGTAGCATCTCGAGCACAATGCCGAACAAGTGATGGCATCTGGCCAGGTTCCTTTGCTTGCCAAAGTTGATGCGGCGCGTGTAGTCTGTCACGCGAAATGCGCGGTCCTCCGCGCCCATCTCCTTCTCGATGGACTTCATGTATTTCTGCACATACCGAATGGGATGTTTGAACATCTTCTTTCGATTGGCCTCCATATTCTCCACAGCACGAGCATGACCTCGGGCTCTGGAGGAGGAAGAACTGGTTGAGCTCGAGGAGCTTCTGCTGCTGCTGGCACTCCGGTCTTTGGCACGTCTCCGTCTGCCTTTCTTGTCCTTTTTCTCTTTTCCCATGGACTGAGCTATCTGCAGAGCAAGCAGGCCCTGCAAAGGATCCTTTGAAGAGCTGACTGCCTTCAGAAGTTCTTCTTGAACAGTTCTCTCTTCTCGTGACTTCTTGCGTCCACGACTTTTTGAGATCAGGGCAAAACGACGGCTGTAACTGCGCCGTCTTCGGCTGCTCTTCCTTCTGTCTTTGCTTTTCTTTTCTTTGCCAGTATCTTCTCCTAGCCACTTCTTTCGCATCAAGCTCACAGGATCTGCTTCCTCTGAACTCGAGCCACTCGCTGAGCTGGATGAAGACAGGCTTGGATCGCGATGACCCTTCTGCTTCGAAGTCTTGGCCGGCTCCAACTGAACTGGTTCCGAGGCTGTAGCATAAACCAGCTCCTCTTCCGAAGACAGCAGTGTCTCGGCAGCACGTGCAAGTGCCTTCTTGTCCGTCTCCAGCAGCACTACATCTTCGTCTTCTGCAGACGGGCCCAACCGAACCTGCGATGCTCTCGCTTCGACCAAGCAGAAACGTCTTCCTTCTACTTCTATGCTGGCAAGACCGCTCGCGGCAATCTCCTCTGCTGTGGCTTTCACCACTGTCTGCACCCATGAAACTTTCACTCCTATCACAAGCGCCTCCCTCCAGCGCCTAGGTCCAAAACTTTCACTCAGCCACAGGAATCCCACCGAGCCCTGGCGGGGAGCCATGGATCAGTCTCCACCTGAAAGTCTCCAGCGCCTTCTCAGGCCTCACACTGTGTCTTTCGGCTTCTTCCCTGAATAGCTCACGACCCCGGATCAAATTGGGCACCCTACGAAATCTCAGATGCTCAAATTCGCCTTCGTTCAAGGTCAGGATCGCAGAGTAGGCACTTAACCCGTCACTCCAGTGAACTCCAGACCAAGCGTCACCAGGCTCGTTCGGCAACTGCCAAACAACGTAGATCCGTAAATCGCTAAATCCAGCACTAGTGTCAGGCAAAGGACCTCGACTGGCTTGGTAGTAGAAATTCAGAATCCTCGCACTGTCTGGTCCCACCGGTCGCAGAGGTAAGACAGAGAATTCACGACCTAGAGACTCTTGAGATGCAGAGGATGCTGTGTCAGAATGGTCACTTGCCTCTTCTGTTGACCGTTCTGACTCAACCGGCTCAAGATGTGGGGATGCAGAGCGCTTATGGCGACAACGACAGGTAAGAGATCGGAGGAACCACAACATTCAAGCCAAATCTCTGCAGCCGGTAGACGGCATCAAACATGAGTGGGTCATATATATATTATATAACCATGGTGATAATTAGAACCATATTATAACCATAATAAGGTGTTGACATTAATATAAATGGTTTTAACCATGGTTGATATATAAAAGCTTCACTTTTCAGCAGCTTCATGCGTGTTTTGAACCATTTTGATCTGGTGCTCGGTGGCAATGTTTCAAGCGACATCCTGAACGGTTCTGTGTCATTTGTGATGACTAGGCTGACTAGGCTCCAAAATTAAAATCCCCAAATGGAGGATCCAAAAATGGCGGTTTTCGGATTTGGTTTACAACATGAAGTAGCTCTTACCCACTAGGATTCACCTAGAGTAAGTGAGTAAGGCTCAGTAAGGCCTTACTCCACTGAATGTTCAAGTCGTTTTTTCCCCCGAAGCAATGGGCACGGTCCCGCCCAGTGGCATTGAGCAATTTTCTGAATGGCATACCTCGGCGCGGAAGGTTTCTCCCTATCCAGTGGCACGCAAGCAATATCGGCTTGAAGATCTTGAAGGCAAAATTTGAGGATGTGAAGCACTTACATTATATACAGGCTGGGGTCCCCCAGCCTAACCATTCCCTATACCCTCCCTACAAAACACTTGGTGTTTCACCCTTTCACCATGCTGTCGCCTGGTGTTTTTCGGCCAGTTTTGTTTATTGCTTCGTTGACGCTATGTTTGCTGGTTCCATTCCCAATATGTCCAATTCAATGCTCATTTCCAGTCTGCCCGTCCAATTGTCGCTTGCCTCCCATCCCAGAGGTTTCGTTGCTGCAATCCGCATTTGTATTTGGTCAAAATCGGTTTGTTTCTCCTTCTGTCTCCCACCAAATCCCCACTTTGCTTGAAATTCCCATATTTCTTGGTCGTGTCATCCCAACCCACCAAACTCCATCTTCACTCCTTAAACTCCCCGTATGTTTCGGTAAAATCACAGAAAATTCCATTTGCTGTTTGAATATCCCACCATATCCCAAGGTTCCAGTAGAAGCCATGGTGAAAATTCATAAAAATAATCCCCAAGTTCTTCATCATCCTCCACTGTCCCCCACCGTCCCCACCGTTTCAAGCGACGTTTCAAGGCCTCTCGGTGCCGCTTGTCCAAGCGCAGGGGGCGTCGCGAATGCGAGAGGTGGCAGAACGTACAATCCGCACCGCTGGTGCAGGTGCCGGAGCGATAGTAGATGCAGGGCCTGGAAACGGTGACCGAAGGAATGGGAAGGGTAAGTAGTCCACAACCTAGATGCATACATGTTTATCTATGTATATAACATGTTATACATATATATATATATATATGTGTGTGTGTGTGTTTGTGTGTGTGCGTTATATATATATATACATAGATAAACATGTATGCATATGTGTGTGCATTTATTTAGTTAGTAGTTATTTATTTGTTTATGCATTTAATCAGTTTTATTTATTCATTTATTCATTGATCCATTTATAGAATATGTAGATGTAGCTATGTTAATGGTTATAGAGGGTGGTGCACCACTCCAGTTATGTTTGGTGCTTTGTAACCCCCATCAGTGAGTTAGAGATATATCTACCACAAACCATCACAAACCCTAGGTGTTGGAGTTAATGATGTTTACCAACTTAGCTACCAAACTGAAGCACCTCTTTAAACCAGCATTTTTTGGGGTGAGATCCTCAACGTGAGATACTTCAACGAGAGAGACGAGGGAGTCCGTCGGAGCCATCTCACCAATGTGTCAACGAGTGGTGTGGATGATAAAAAGGAACGATCCAATGGGAATTCCAGGATCCATTTTCATGGAGGTACTGTACCATATTTTTGGCCATATTTTGGTGGGATATTCCCTGAAATCTAGGCCTTATATATGGTAGGTACCTCCAATAAATCGGATCCTGAAATGGCCATGGGTAGTGTGGTATATACCCAATGCAGACCCAATATACCCAATGCCATATAAACATCCCCAATTGGGATTTACGGCCTTGGCCTTGCCACATTTTAGACAGTACCAAACACTTTTTTAATGACACATGAAAACGTGATCGTGACCATATGTTTAGAGGTAAAGTCATCATGTTTTAAAAAAAGAAGTGAGCATATATATATATATATATGCATATGTATATATATATATACATATGTGTGTGTGTACTATAACTATACTATACCAATTGGTAATTTTCCATGGTTATGTTCTGAAATCACCCAGCTTTTCCCATGGCTTCCCGATGACCTGGGACAAAGATCTGGGTGTCCAAGGCTACCTTGGCTGCGGCTATATCATGCTATATGCCATATTGGGACCATTGGGAATCCCATGGAATTCCCCACTTTTGGGCTATCCAAATGTATCCAATCCAACCAACCCATATTGACATATTTTTGACCATGGCATTCCATGGCACATATAGATTTGTGCAAAAATTACGCTGATGAATATTTAAAAAACCACCAATGAATGGGGAAAAAAATATGTGTAAAACTATACCATCTGGTTATTTAACATAGCCATGGAAAGATCCACCATTTTTTAGTTTGGTAAACCATCTATTTCACTGGGCCAGTTTCCATGGCTATGTTAAATAAACAGAGGGTATATCTTATTTTTGGATCTATCATGATATGTCCCATCTTTTTCTGGGATTATGGTTATTAACCACCTAATAGTACATACTTGCCCTGGAATCTTGAAAACTCTGGTTTAGGACCTCTTCATTTTCGGGTCCCTATTCGGGAGGTCATACTGGCCATCTTGACAAAATGACCACAGCAAGAAGCAAGTGAAAATCCCTTCAAATCAGCTGTTCAACACGGCCAGTTGCATTGAAATTCTGTGATTCCCAAAGGGATTCCACCATGTACCTACTTATCACTTGAGTGCTTTCTTAATTTCCACCCGGACCCCCAACCTGTTTTGTCATATTCTGTTCCTTTTGGCCCCCCACCCACCTACCCTCCCCTTTTTCCCTTGACCCTAGTTGCTGACCAGCAGCCAAGTGGGACTGGTTAATAACTTTGGCCAACCCCATCTACAACTGATGTCAAACCCCACTCAACCATCTGTAAAATATTGTAAAAGATCCTCCACTCATTTTTTGCTTCACCCCAACCCCCAATTTCAGGCGATGTTCTCCAATTTCCCCCAGAAAAAATCTGGGAAAATCCTGGAGGTTGTTCACATCTTCCCTCCGAAAAACATGGAAAAATCGGAAAGATGTTGAATATTCATGGAAAATTGGAGGTTTCCCCATCCCCATCCCATCCCCATCCCATCCCCACCATCCCATCCCCATCCGATCGCCATCCCCGACCGAGCGGCCCGGGTTCCGCGGCACCGTGCTCTCTCGCGCCTCCCGCAGCCCGCCGGTGCCGACCGAGGAGGGCGCGCGGACATCGCCACGGCCGCGGACCTTGGCGCGCAGCAGTTGGTCCGCGACCACCTCGTTGGTGACGCTGTGGGGCCTCGTGGGGCCAGGTCGCCATGGCGCCCATGGCGAAGGGTGGCAGTTCACCATGGCAATTTTTGGGTGAACCATCAGCATCCCAATTTTGGGATTGAAGGAAGATGAGGATTGAAGTGATTTTGTTTGCATGAAAAAGGTGCTGTTGATGATCACCAATGATTTATAGCTACTTGGGGTATCATCCCACTTGGGCTCAGTAACTGCTGAGTGTTTGTTTGAGTTAGTTAGCCCAGTTGTGTGTGGCATTTTCATTGGGATAAAGACTGAATGGTGAATTATTAACCTGGAGTTATTAACCACTTATATATATATATACTATACACCATCTGGTTATTTAACATAGCCATGGAAAATCCCCATGTTTAAGTTCGGTAAACCATCTATTTCTATGGGCCATGGCTTCCATAGCTATGTCTAACCAGATGGTAATTGGGATGATCCTCCCACCATGGTGGGAAGATCTCCCATTTTAGCAGAAATATGTCTCGAAAAAAGATGGGGAAATGTCCTAAATTGACTCAGCTTGGTGGTCCAACTTTCTTGGAAGCCGGGAGATAAAGACTATCAACAGCTGGTCAAAAACAGCACCACAGTAACCCAAAATTGAGAACGTAAAAGTTGGAAACCTGAAAATGATGGGGGAAGTATCATCGAATTATATACCGATATCCTAGAAGCACTGTTGGGTATCTTTTTTGGTGATTACTACAAGGAGGTCTGCTATAGTTGCGACCGTAAGACCTTTTACCGGGTCATAATATATGGTGTCCAGTGAAAACGGGCCACTGGTGAACTAGTGATTGGGCCATAGTCCCAAAAGTGGGCATATTTTGTGGGTTGTGTTCCCAAGGACAACATAACTGAAGGGGAAGATAAGTTGGAAGTTGGTGAACTAGCATTGTTTTTTTTCGAATATTGAGGGGTCTTAGGTGGCAAAGATGTTTGTTGCTTTTACCGAAATTGGATTCAAGTGATTCGGAAATCAGATTAGAGAAGCAAACATGATGATTTCAGGACAAGGGTCATGATCAGAACTCTTGGGGAAGGATTGAAGTAAAAAGGGTAGAAAAATGATGGAGGATTGAGGGAGGTCGATATCAGCCAAGCGCTAGCCGGTTTCAAAAAAAAACTCATAGCTGTATTTTGCCGAAAACCAGAATGTCAAAACATGTTTCAAAAATGGATTCAGCATAGCACCTGGAATGGTGAAAGGCCCCATGCTGGTTGGAAACCGCTTCCTGCATTTCACACATGTTGTAACTTTTGGCCATTTAACCTGGCTATGGCAACTTGCCCATTTGTGGACGATTTAACTCTCAAAACTAGTGATGTTCCATAGCTCTCTTAAATTACCGGAGGGTATAAGTGGATTATAATCCCATTCCATTCCATATTAAACCCATTAAAACCCCATAAAATTATCAGATGGTAAATCTCCACTAAATCACCATAAAAATAGTGGTTAAATCTCCATTAAAATCCCATTATATAGTAGTATAAGTGGATTTATAATCCCATGACATTCCATTAAATCCCATTAAAATCCCATAATATAGTAGTAAAATCACCATAAAAATAATGGTTAAATCTCCATTAAAATGCCATGATGTAAACCCCTTTTTGTCCCATTCAATCACTGTCAAAATCACCAACGTCAAATCTCCGGGATCTCCGCCAAGGTGCATGAAATCTTTGTCCTGCGGCGTCCGCAGGGTCAATTTATGAACATCTGGAGGAAGAAAATGAGGAAAGAATTAGTTTAAAACCGGATGTGATTTATTGATCTGTTTGTTTTTTTTTGATTTACCCTCTGGTTATTTAACATGGCCATGGAAAATCACAATTTTTAATAGGTAAACCATCTATAAATGGGCCATCTATACCATGGCTATGTTAAATAACCAGATGGTAATTATCCATGGTTTCTTCTTGGAATTCTTGGAACTTCGAAACTAGGGAGACTTTTCAGATTTCGCCCACTCTGGAGACATCAAGCCCATCCTCCCAGCCAGGCGCCGTGTTTTCGAATCCCATGATAACTCCGATGCATCACAAAAACAGTATCCCATAAAAATCCCTTTCCCATGATATTCTCATATCATATCATATCATATCATATCATCATTCATCACCATTGAATGATAGCCCTGTATAACCCCACTATCATCCCGGTATATTCGTTTTTTTCTCATTCCAATAATCTGGAAAACCCTGGGTTTTTTCATGGGTTTTCCCAAGATGTATCTGGAAAATCCCATAGAAATCCCATAGAAATCCCATAGGTTTGCCGTTTGGAAAATGATCTACAAACCGTGGCCTTGATCACTTCCAAGGCTGTTTCCATCGCATTGTGCGTGGCTGCTGGGAAGATGGAATCCACATTCCTGGAAAGCACGGGAAAGTGGGGGGGAACGGGGTGTGGGATGGATAAGGGATGGTTTTTGGCCTGGTTGAGCGACTTTTTTCCTGGAAATCCGAGAAAAGTGATGGAGTTGGCCAGCGGGAATTGAGGATATTTGGCAAATGTGGACCACAACGAACCGGGTAGTGTGAAAAGAAACCGGAAAAATGGTATGGTTGCGCTACTCGGGACCTACTGTACTAGTAGCTACCTCCGTAAGATTTGGAACCGGTTACAGCCATCTTGTCCAAGCATCTTTTGAAGCAGCAAATCATCCTCCACCGCATTGCGGATCTTGCCTTAAATTGTGGATGACCAGAAAGCCTGGCAATGGAGTTTCTATTGCCATGTCTGTTCATTGAGAGAAATGGTATGATTAGATTAGATGTACCAAGTTCCTGAGCTTCCATTTTCAAAGACACCGTCTTGGTTGGTTGAATTACCCCGTTCATGTTAGTGAATCAGTGAATCTCAAGCTTTTCATTTAAGTCAAGTGTGTTCTTTGTTCAAAAAATAGTGTCAGCAACACAGTGAGCTGTAAATTTATGTCACCCCCATGTAGTTCTATTCAAACGTGCCGTGCTCTGGGATCCACAATTCCAAACCTGCCGGCATCTTCACTGGTTTCCAAGTCGCACCGAGATCGCCCCTCCAAACCACTGGTTTTATCGAAGTGAATGGGGGATGTTCCATCCATTGCTTTGTAAATGATTGCCGGGGGGTATATTATGATATATCCCAATGATACTCCAACATTCCATTAACATTCCATGATATATCCATTAAAGTAATGGTATATTATGGTATATTCCATTTATGATACCCATTAATGATATATCATGATAATTGGGATATATCATGGGAGAAAAAATGGGATATATCATGTTATCATGATACCCATTTATGATAATTGGGATATCCCATGTACATTCCATTATATATCCCAATGATACTCCATTTATACTCCATTAAGCCATGTTTGGCATATCATTATTAATGTGGGTAAAAACAATAGTAAACCTTCCCCCAAATTACCATAAACAGGTGGGATTCAAACCATTCCCAGTCATGGGCGGTAAACATGGCATTGTTTTTCCCACATTAGTCATCATTAATAACAATTAATAGCCCATTAATAGACATTAACCATTAATAACCCATACTTTATGGAACATCCCGTGCTTGGCATCGCTTCGAGTGGCAAACTTTCTGCCACTTGATGGCAGCCTCCTCATCCTGGAGAAGACTCCGCAGTTGGGGTGCAGTTGGGAACATGAATATAGGTATAACCATGGAAAAAAACAACCATAAGAAAAAGGAATAAAATCAGGGATATAAGATGATATAAGCCAATACAGTTCACTGTAGTTATATCATGTTATATCAATCTACTCATAACTGATAAAGCTCTTTAGGCATATGCCGATGCCCAACACATAAACTACAACTTCGGGTTGAGCCTCCAGTAGATGACACCCAAACATCTTGCCCATCCCAAAAAGATCAACGGGTCCTAAATTGGTTTTTTCTATCTTTGAGCTGTCTAAAAATGGGACCTACCCTCTGGCAATTGAACAGAGCTAGGGAAGATAAGCCGCTTTTAATGGGTACCCTCTGGTAGTCTAACAGTTTGCGAACTGGAAAATGGCCCACTCAAAATAGTTGATTTACCCATTAATAGCATGGTATTTTTCCATCGTTTTTTGTATGTTTACCAGAGGCTAAACCATGGAACTCAATGGGCGTTTTCAAGGTCTCCACCCTTGGTGTAACACCAGTTGTAGTTCTTCAAAATGCTTGAAATCCCCCGAGATCGTCACCATTTTTGGCTGTTAAACCTAAATCAGCCATAAATCAGCCATAAATCAGCCATAAATCAGCCATTTTTTCATCATTTAAACCTCCCAAAATCCCAAGAAAACCCCCAAACAAATCGTCCTCCTCGACCGTCTTTGCTGGCCCTGGAGGCCCTAACGGCTCCCGCAGGGACGCCAAAGCAATGTCCAGTTGTTGCGTGGCGTGCGCGCGACATTCCTGGCAGACATCAGGAGAAATGGTGGAAATCCTAAAAAAATCCCTGGAAATTTGGGCAAATCTTGTGGAAATCATGGGGAAATCCCTTAGAAATCGAGGTTTGAATGGGAAAATCTCATAGAATTGGAGGTTTATAGCCGGGAAATCTCCAAACTCAATGGAGTCGAGGTTTATAGCTTGGAAAATTACCGAGCTAGGGGATATTCCATTGCTACGTTTGATTACAGGAGGGTATCTTTAATAAAAGAGATGGTTTGCGCCAAACAAATGATTGAAAACTGGTTTAGGCAACTTGTGACAGTCAAGGAAACATGAAACTATCCATGAAAGTAGATGAATTACATTGATTCATCTATTAAATCATTGTAGCTTTCCATTGCCATGTGAGATGTCCGGAGGGTATAATCTCATTAAGTAGATCATTATCCCATTACATTCCATCAAAAATCCCATTAAAAACTCATTAAAATCTCATGAAAATTCCATGAAATCCCATTGAAAATCATGAAAAGTCCATGAAATCCCATTAAAAATCATGAAAAGTCCATGAAATCCCATTAAACTCCCATAAAAATCCCATGAAATCACCGTGAAATCACCATTGATCGCCATCAACGCGACCTGTGCCGCACCGCACCGCACCTGTGCCGCGGCTTCCACCGCGTCGCCCGCAATCTTGGCCACTTCGCTGGACATGTCCTGCAATCCACCAGGGGGTTCCATCACACAACTGGACTTATAGTGGTGATTTACCCTCTGGTGAACTAACATAGCAATGGAAAATCACCATTCTTAATGGGAAAATCCACTATTTTCATAGCCATTTTCCATTGCTTTTTGTATGTTCACCAGAGGGTATCCATTTCTCGTGTTTTGATCCCAATATATCCCAAGGGGGTCCCAAGGTTTACCCTCTGGTAAACTAACATAGCTAATTATTGAACATGATGATAGAAATAGTTGATTTATACACTCAAAATGGTGACTTCCCAGTTCGCAAACTCTTCGTTTACCAGAAGGTAAATGTCCCATATTGGGCATTAGTCAATGGATTCCATATGGTTAGATATGATATATATATATATGTGTGTGTGAAATATATGGTTAGATATGGTTAGATTTAATATGATTTAATGGAATTTAACCCCTATGAATTTGTGATTTAGTGAAGATTTATCCTCTGGTAAACTAACAGAACTATGGAAAGTCACCATTTTGAGTGGATAAATCAACTATTTCTATGGTCATGTTCAATAGCTATCTTAAATTATCAGAGGGTAGTCAATGGGAATTTCAGGATCCTAAAATGGAGGTACGTTAGTACCATATTTTTGACCATATTTTCTGGTGATATTCCTTGAAATCTAGGCCTTATGTATGGTAGGTACCTCCAATTAAGGTTCCTGAAATGGCCATTGACTTAGCGCAATAGGCAATAGACCTATAACTTTGGTACAATACTGTGGATGGTTGCGAAATCCTGCACCAGTTGGTAATTATTGGTAATTATTGGGATAACCATCTACCAACTGGTGCAGGAATTCTTCCATCCATAGTATGATGTAATAATTGATGTAACATGTATGATATGTGAGAACCACTCCTATCATCTCATATCTATATTGATTTTGAGGATATAGTATACATCATGCCATTTATTGGTGATTCTCAAATGTCATAATATGATATCAGATGTATGATATTTGAGAATCACATAGAATCACTAAGATCTATTGAATCTATCGGTTGTTTTTAACGGGGGTGACCTCTCTATTCATCAACCAACCAATGGGTCAAGGGCATCTGTGGGCATGTATCCTCTAATACTCCAACATGGGCTTACTTTGCTGAGCAACAACACCGCAGAGGGATCAGAGTCAGAAATGAATTGAAAGGTTAGGAACGGTTTGGATATGATAGATGACAACTCGGGGCGGGATTAATTTTTTCATTGAATATTCTATCCTATCCTAAATTTACTAAATGAATTGGGAATAAACAAGTATTTCCCCATGATATTCAGGAAAATTATGGGAAATTCTGGGGTCACCATATGGGGTCACCATGGCGGTGCGAACCGTTATGCCCACTGGATGTGTGGTGAAGCATCGGGAGATTTTCTTCAACCATCCCCTGGGGGAGATTCCCTGAAATCTAGGCCTGAAAAATAGGCCTTATATATGGAATCGGTAGCTCCAATAAATCGGATCCTGGAATGGCCATTGATGTTGATTTGAGGTGATGCTGTCCATGCTGTCCACCTCCAAAATAATATTGGATCGCAAAGCGAACTCCTCAAATCTCCCCGAAAAATCGGACACAACTGTCATCACTGTCATCCACTCTGGGGCGATGTCGCAAGATGCGTGTCCTGCATCTGTTCTGCTAGCACTTCGCCACCTGAGGCATGGCCAATCATGGCCATGGCTGGGAAAATCATGGAATATCATGGAAATTTTGGCTGGTGGTTGTTCACTCATGGTGGAGGGCAATGGTTCATGATAGTGCTTGAGCAATGTTAAACTGCTAAATGCTTCCTCGAAGGGAAATGTTTCACTCCGAATGATACCTTCTGGTTATTCAACTGTTTGCCACGGAAACCATGGCTCATTTCCAAAAAATGTTTTTGATGATGATTTATCTATTAAAAGAATGGCGTGATCTTCCATGGCTACCCAAGAAATTACATCAAAAACACCACACTGGTTGGTGGTTGAGCCTACCCCCCTGAAAAATGATGGAGTTCGTGAGTTGGGATGATTTTCCATTCCCAACTGTTTCTGGAAAGTCATGTCATCCATTCATGTTCCAGTCAGCACCAACCAGCACAGGATATCATCCATTTTTTGCACCAAATATTCACCAGACGCCTTCATGCGCGTCTTCTTCATGGATGGCGCTCAGCTGTTGGATCATGCCTCCTACCTCAGGTCCATGATGGCAGCCATGGATTTGGGAAACGACTGTCCGGTCCGATAAACGAACTTTTTTTGGGAGTACAGGTACATGCTTGGGGATGAACTGTGAACCGTTTGGGACTTCTATGATATCAACGATAGAGGTCTGGCGCTCTGCAATTGCAATTGCCTATAATTGCCTGTTCGTTGATGAATGGCGAAACAATGGTTTGACCCTTCTATTCAGAATCAACGAACTATACTGAACAAATGGGGGTGTTACTAAATCTAAAACCAATCAGCATGAGTCATGAGGATATAGATGCGGCTATGGGTTGAATTGTCCAACTTCATGGGAAAATGATGATCAACCACAATCAACTCCAAAGAAATCGTAAATTTCGGAGAAAAGCCCAGGCATATCCCATATGCTCCATGTATGGAATATTTACCCATATTTACCCCCAAAAATCACCCAGTCATGTAGGCAAATATTCCAGCACCATGGAGCATCTGGGTATTTCTGCCATGTTCATCCATTTTCCCCGATTTTGATGCTTCATTTAAGGGGCACCCGAAAGTCGATCACACCGGTGAAACTGCATTCATCGTCCAAAAAGGGCCCTGGCCTAACACAGTTTGCCAACGGCTATGGGATTTCTGGTGAATACATCTATAACTTCAATTCACCAGAAATAGATGGTAAATACATCTATCTAGGTAACTTCTTGATGTTTGTTGGTATAATTACCCAAAAAGTTAGGGTTTTGGGGTGGTAACGAACCAATCAAACATCAACAAACATTGATTTTTTTCATGATTTTTTGATCCTTTTCTGTACCACAAGGGTACCACCTGACTCAGGCTACGATGCACCGGCGGCCCAAGGCACTTTCTCACGGACCTGTGCTTTGGCTTTTTCCATGCGGGACCTCGGCAAGGCTGGGGACGTGGGGACTCAACAGCTGGCTTCAAACCGCGGAACACCACGTTGAAATTGCCATGTTTATTGGGGGAAATGATCGGGAAATGGATGGAAATGCGGAAATCTGAAAATTGGAGAGTTTGAAAATTGTGTTTTAAGAACCATGCCGGATTTTGGAAGATGTTCTAGAAGAGGCTTTAGGGAAATGTTGCAGGAACTCATGTTTTCTGAAGTTTTCTTCTTTTCCGGCCAGATTTCCCTCAAATCAGCTCAATCATAGGTGATGCTATCCCACCAGCACTTGTTTTATTTGTTTTGCTGCAGTTTTCTGGGATCCCCGAGCTCCAGCAGGTTCAGAACCATGGTGGGAATCACCTCAATGCGAACCCCCGGATTTTCGCAACGCGACAGAGATTTCTAGACCTATAAAAATCCATGAATCCTTAGTCTTCTGGAGAATCTGAGTTTTCATATTCTTTCCTGTTACACCATTTGACCATGTAAATTCTCAGCCATAGGACCTTCGGTTTTCTGAGATGTCACATGCCATGCCAGGGTTGAATCATCCCATGTTTGAGGACTGTGTCTCGTACTGTGTCTCGTACACCGATATGAACGTCTTCAACCTTGATATCTTCTACAATCACCACATGTTTCACATCACTCAGGTCACAACCAGATAGTTTGGTGATTCCAATCTCCCACCGATTTGTTGCTTGCATTTCCTCATGTGTCTTATTTTTGTTCCAAGTGTTGCGAGCAAAATACCCATGTTCTTGCAAACTCCACGCCACCTCACCACTTCCACTACATGTGACTCGGGCAAAAACCACCGCGTATTGTTGGGAAAACCACCATATGTCTGCTGGGCATTTGTTTATATTAGTATAGTCAGTATAGGTATATAAATTATAAATATATATGTACATATCCCATTGTCCTATAGTATAATATAACACCAAATGAAACAGTATGATACAATATAAAATGGTATAATCAATGGATTGGTTTAAGGGAAAATTTACAGGAAAAACCCATATTTAATGGGAAAATCTATGGTTTCCGGTTAAGATTTTCCCTTAAACCAATCCATTGATATAATATAGTATACCTTATCCTTACTAGGGACCCCCCCACAACTTTATATCGGCGGCCTCCAAGTGCTTCATGGCTTTGGTGGTTTCGGTGCTTTGCTGCGATTCCCCACGGATCACTGTGGAGACTTCGTTGATCTCGCTCTGCACCTACCAAGGACCCCCCTTGAAATGATCAAATAGACAACCGGATGGTGCCCCCCAGTTATGTTTGTTGGTTTATAAACCTCATGAATACTATAGTTATATCTACCATAAACCATTGTTAAGCCACTTAGATCCTGTAGAAGTAAGGATGTCAAGTGGCAAGAAGTACAAAGTACATCAAGAATGTTGAGGAAACGTACTCCCGCGTACCCATTATATGATTGGGTCATGAAACTTAAATTTGTGCCGACTGGTTGTCAATCAAGCCAACCATGAAATCATCGATATAAATACTGCAAAAAATGCTGGTAAGACTAGGGGATGGGAATCTCCCAATCAGAGATTCACCAGCAATAAATGGAGGGGTTGTGGAGGATTAGGGAGTCCTATGTTAATCAGTGCGAAAAGGATATCCATAGTTCGAACGTGCTTTTCAAAACAGGATCTAGTTGGTAGTGACTTAAACCCATCATACTGTGGATGGAAGAAATCCTGCACCAGTTGATAGGTGGTTTATCCCATTATTTATAGGGTTTCAACCATCCTTTTGGTGGTGCAGGATTTCGCAACCATCCACAGTATGATTGCATTTGCAGCAATATCACATGATATAATTGGGGTATGTGCCATCATAAAACTGGGATGGCAACGAACATCTCAAGGTCGCTGCTTGAAGCACCCAACATCCGGAGGATGTCCATAGAATGTCAACCCAGGATCAATTTTTAGCCCCACTGGTCATACGGGATCCATTTCGAATTGTATACTTAAATGGCAACTACCCCCATGTTGATCTGATAGTCACTGACGCTTCATTCATCCTGGCTTAAGACAACTTACCCTCTGGTAATTTAACATAGCTATTGAAAATGGCTATCGATAGTGGATTTTCCCATTAAAAATGGTGGATCTTTCCAGTTCGTTATGTGGCAGTTTACCAGAGGGTAACATCATTTCCCAAGTCCCAACATGTCCCAACGAGTTTTGATGATTCCGAGCCACGCTGTCAACGACATGACTGGCCAACTTGTGCATATCTTCACCCACCTTACCGCCAACGATGTCATCACGATGTCTGCAGGCAGAATCACCAGCATTCACTTCACCAGCAGGGCATGTTAAGAAAAAAACAACAAAAATTTGCCAGGAAACGTCTCTTTAAACAAATGCCAAAAAAAAACTCAACAACCAATTTTCTGTCAAGGAAATATCATCATTTAGGGTATTTTATCACAAAAAAAAATAAAGAACTAAGGGCATGTCTAATAGACCTCTAAATTGGGGTTGGTTTATTATTGGCATTTTGAAGCAAAATCTTTGTTACCCCACCTCACTCGCCCTGGACTGTGCTAGGCATCCAGACTCGCTTTGGAAGTTCCTCCATGGCAGCCAGCACTGTGGACATGCGCTTCTGGCTGCCCCAACCCTGGTACCTTGGGCGAGTAAACCCGTGGCCTTCAAGGGGAAAATCAGGAAAATCGCGACAAACATCGACAAACAGTGAAATATCGTGGGATCTTTTTTAACTGAAAATCCAGAGGCATCAGAAAAGAATCTGAAAACATCAAATTTGCAGGTCCTTTCGCCCGGTTTTGGTGGGAACACATCCTTTTCGCCACCTTTCTTCTTCACCCCAAAACTGCAAAAACACATCAGCTCTCTCTCTCTCTCTCGGTGTTTTTTTTTGCTTCGAAGCTGCATCTGCTGAGCACTCTCTTGCATTTCTTTGCTTAGCGCTTGTCTTTGATCCTCAGCTGTTTCTTGAGATCATCTACCTGACGTCGGGACCTAAGGTCGTGATCATTATCCATAGTACATAGATAATCATATATGATCATGTATATATATATATATATATATATGTAATCATATATATATAATCATATATATATAGACATATATGTAATTATAATTGTACATATATATATATACATATATCCCCATGATATAACAAGATTAGTTCCATGATCCCCCCATGATCTCCCCATGTCCCCATGTCGTCGGAAAGTCGGTAGGTCCTACCGGCTACCTACCGGGTACCTACGGGGTACCCGTCGCATCCAAGGCTCTTCTCTGTGAAAGCGCGTGGGCAAATGATCTCGCTCCACCTCCTGGAGATGCCTCGTGTTTCGCATGGTGAAATCTATCCGCTTTTTTTGACGGTCTGAGGGCTTGGAACCTGGGATTGATGGGAAATATTAACGACGAGAAACGACCCTGCCATATAAACTACCCTCTGGTAAACTAACATAACTATGGAAAATCACCATTTTTCATGGGAAAATCCACTATAAATGGTGACTTTCCATAGTTACTGTATAATGTTAAATTACCAGAGGGTAACTAGTATACATGGAAATACTCTAGAAACCAACAATGATTCATCAGTTTGTCACCATTATCGCAGTAACATGAGGCATACCCCTTGTTTGGACCAACCAACTTGCGGACACAACGAACTAATCACGCTTGGTGGTGGCACATCAAAGCGTATAGCATCCCCCAACAAGATGAAAAGTAAAATCCTACTAAAATAGGGGTAAAACACATCTGTTTGGAGGTTACTGTACTGTTGTTGATGCATGTCTAAGAGGTAAAATGTGGGGCTCATAACAGCTTACAATGCCAAAAGCTGTCATGTTGACGGAAGGTCATCCGATGAACCACCTCAGGGCTATCACCCGTCTAGCCACAACCCCTCTCTGGAACAATTACAATTTCAACAGGATAAGATGGTAAATGACAATAATTTGATGGCCATAAATTACCGCAGGAAAATACTGTTGCTACTGATTTTGTCTTTAGTTCTTTTCTGGTGGTTTCGACCCGAAGAATGATCAATTGGGATCAGCATCCCAAATATGGGTACTACAGTACGGGTTTGAAAAACAAATGAAAAGAATCATCACACTTGGAGCATCCTGCCAGCATACATTTCAAACATGTTCAAACCACATATTATCTGCTGGAGCCTAGAAATCAAAAATAGTTCAAGCAGCCGCCGGCTATAGAATGTTCATCCGAATGATCAATGAAATTGTTTATTGTATAATATATTCGCATATAATATACATAACACATAAAACGTATAAACAAAATATAAAGCATACACCGTATAGATCATACACATTGTTAACATAGAATTATACATATATTATACATATATTATACATATATATCATATACATATAAATCAGAAACATCATATAATGCATAAACATATATATATATATATGCATGTTTCCCCAGCTGATCAATGAAAAAGAATATATTATCAAGATATTACATCTATACATACATGGGGGTTTCCATTTAAATGGGACATCCTGAAAAATGCTTGTTTATAGATGTTTTCAATAGAACATCCTATGTTTATCTATTCTTCAATGGAAAATCCTATGAAAATCCTATGAAATGCTATGTTTCAATGGGAAATCCTATGAAAATCCTATGTTTCAATGGAAAATCCTATGAAAATCCTATGAAAATCCGATTTTCCAATGGAAAATAGGGGCCATGGGGGCCATGGGGGCCATGGGGGCCATGGGGGCCATGGGGGCCATGGGGGCCATGGGGGCCATGGGGGCCATGGGGGCCATGGGGGCCATGGGGGCCATGGTTTCCGCTGCCTCTCGTGTTCTCGTGTGGTGGACCTCAAGGGCTGGTGACGCACCGTGGGCCGTGGAGGAAGGTGAACCTCCTGGCCACGCGGGGCACCACGGGCTGCAGGGAAAATGTGAGGAAAAAAGCCTGAGATGATGGGATTGATTGATATTTATGGTGATTTATGATGATTTGTGACATAGACATGATTGATTTATGATGATTTGTGATGATTGATGATTTATTGATGATTGATTGATGATGATTGATAGCTGAATGAAACTTATATTGAATGGCAAATTAATGGAAATCCACCAGGTTTTTTGACCATTGTCTAATGATTTCCATAGCTTCCATACTCCATGTATATTTTTTTCGTCTGATTCTGCCGGGATCTTTGAATCCCTCTTTTCTGGCGTCCTTCTTGGTGTGGTGTCGCATATGACCTCAGCGAACCCACTGGTTTCACTGCTGATAGGCTAAGTGGCTGGGAATGAAGTAAGGTAACACATAGAACACCAATATATTGGACCACAGGGCAACCATGGGCAACCTAAAAACCTCACCGGGAGTTGGGATCTCTCACCTGACCCATGGTGAAATCCAGGCCTCACATCGTGGTGTTTTTTCCAGTGTTTTTTCAGGTTGATCACCCGCTGCCCCCAACCCCAGCAGCTCAGCTCCGATGATCCAAGGGACGGTTCTGTCGATCCGGTTTCGCCTCCCGCGTGCGTGGACCAAACTTGTTGCTGCCGCGCATCCGGGGCGGCTCCGATGCAGGGTAGTTGGCACCACGTCGGTCCTCGGCGTTCGTGCTTCTGTTCAAAAGGCATCCTGGGAAACCCGGAAGAAATTGAATTGCTTACCGCCTTGTAAACTAACAACATAGATGCGTTAAAAAAAACAAAAATTGTGGATCATTGTCCATTTTCCTCGGAAAACCATGGTTTTTCCACATCGATTGACGTCTTCTGTAGCAAATCACCGTCCGTGCCGCGTGGCCGTGGGCTCTTCTGGCAGGTCCGAATTGGTGGCCGAGGCCGCATCCCAAGCCTTGGGGAGATGAGGCTTGAGATGATAGGAAAGTGCGAAAAAATAACCCATTGCTTGGTAATATACTATTAATATATGGTAAATAATGGTTAATATATGGTAAATAATGGTTAATATATGGTTAATGATTGGTGATAGTGTTGGTGATAATTAGGTAAATCAACTATAAATGGGCCATTTTCAATAGCTATGTTAGTGTATAATATATATATATATATATGTATGTATAACTGGTTGATGGATACCTATATACCCCTCTGAAAAATGTGAGTTCGTCAGTTGGGATGATGACATTCCCAACATATGGAAAAATCAAAAAAAGGTTCCAAACCACCAACCAGGTGATATTGTTGGTAATAATGTTGGTAATATTGGTGATATGATATGAAATGTTGGTGATAATCAGGTGATAGTGTTGGTAATTGTTGGTGGTAGTGGTGATATTTACCTCATACCTCCCGGAAATGGAAACCACATTTCTGTCAAGTTAGGAAAAATGCATGGGGCACATGGAACTGTTAGCAGAAGGCCAGTTGTTGTTGGCAAATCATGTTTGAAGCACCTTGAATCCCCATGTTGCTCCGTTTGCACCCACCAAGAATGACCATAGACTCCGATTATAAAAAAAACTTGATCCAAGTGGCCAAACATCGTACATGCTATTGTTCTCTCTATATGTTTTATGGATTTTTATGGTTCATCACATTTTATCACCGAAATGTTCCACCCAAACTCCGCCCTTCCCCAAGGGATCTTCTCGAGGCCCAGCGACCCAACCCCCGGCGGCGTTGGCGGCGGTGGCATTGTTGGCGTTCTCCACGCTGGCCGCGCTGGTGTAGTGCAGCCAGAGGATGTCGGAGTCCTCCGCGATCCCGATCCCAAGCTGGCCAGGCTTAGCGATGATTTAATAGGGTTTAATAGGGTTTAATAGGGTTTAATAGGGTTTTGGGATTTCAATGGGATTTCAATTGGATTTCAATGGGATTTCAATGGGATTTCAATGGGATTTCAGTGGGATTTCAATGGGATTTCAATGGCATTTCAGTGGGATTTCAATGGGATTTCAATGAGATTTCAATGGGATTTCAATGGGATTTCAATGGGATTTCAAAGGGGTTTCAATGGGATTTCAATGGGATTTCAATGGGATTTCAATGGGATTTCAATGTGATTTCAAAGGGGTTTCAATGGGATTTCAACTGTGTGTCAATGGGGTTTCAATGGGGTTTCAATGGGATTTCAAAAGAATTTCAATGGGATTTCAATAGGATTTCAATGGGATTTCAATGGGATTTCAATGGGATTTCAAAGGTGTTTCAATGGGGTTTCAATGGGATTTCAATGGGATTTCAATGGGGTTTCAATGGGATTTCAATAAGATTTCAGTGGGATTTCAATGGGATTTCAATGGGATTTCAGTGGGATTTCAATGGGATTTCAATGAGATTTCAATGGGATTTCAATGGGATTTCAATGGGATTTCAAAGGGGTTTCAATGGGATTTCAATGGGATTTCAATAGGATTTCAATGGGATTTCAATGTGATTTCAAAGGGGTTTCAATGGGATTTCAACTGTGTGTCAATTGGGTTTCAATGGGATTTCAGTGGGATTTCAATGGGATTTCAATGGGATTTCAATGGGATTTCAAAGGGATTTCAATGGGGTTTCAATGAGATTTCAATGGGATTTCAATAGGATTTCAATGGGATTTCAATGTGATTTCAAAGGGGTTTCAATGGGATTTCAACTGTGTGTCAATGGGGTTTCAATGGGATTTCAGTGGGATTTCAATGGGATTTCAATGGGATTTCAATGGGATTTCAAAGGGATTTCAATGGGGTTTCAATGGGATTTCAATGGGATTTCAATGGGATTTCAAAGGGGTTTCAATGGGGTTTCAATGAGATTTCAATGGGATTTCAGAGGGGTTTCAATAAAGGTTTCAATGAGATTTCAATGGGATTTCAATGGGATTTCAATGGGATTTCAATAGGAATTCAATGGGATTTCAATGGGATTTCAAAGGGGTTTCAATGGGGTTTCAATGAGATTTCAAAGGGATTTCAAAAGAATTTCAATGGGATTTCAATAGGATTTCAATGGGATTTCAATGGGATTTCAATCGGATTTCAATGGGATTTCAATGGGATTTCAAAGGGGTTTCAGTGGGATTTCAATGTGATTTCAATGGGATTTCAAAGGGGTTTCAATGGTGTTTCAATGAGATTTCAATGGGATTTCAATGGGATTTCAATGGGATTTCAATGGGATCTCAATGGGATTTCAAAGGGATTTCAATGGGGTTTCAATGGGATTTCAAAGGGATTTCAATGGGGTTTCAATGGGATTTCAAAGGGGTTTCAATGGGGTTTCAATGGGATTTCAATGGGATTTCAAAGGGGTTTCAATGGGGTTTCAATGAGATTTCAATGGGATTTCAAAGGGGTTTCAATAGAGGTTTCAATGAGATTTCAATGGGATTTCAATGGGATTTCAATGGGATTTCAATGGGATTTCAATGGTGTTTCAATGGGATTTCAATGGGATTTCAAAGGGGTTTCAATGGGGTTTCAATGGGATTTCAATGGGATTTCAAAGGGGTTTCAATGGGGTTTCAATGAGATTTCAATGGGATTTCAAAGGGGTTTCAATAGAGGTTTCAATGAGATTTCAATGGGATTTCAATGGGATTTCAATGGGATTTCAATGGGATTTCAAAGGGATTTCAATGGGGTTTCAATGGGATTTCAATGGGATTTCAATGGGATTTCAAAGGGGTTTCAATGGGGTTTCAATGAGATTTCAATGGGATTTCAGAGGGGTTTCAATAAAGGTTTCAATGTGATTTCAAAGGGGTTTCAATGGGATTTCAACTGTGTGTCAATGGGGTTTCAATGGGATTTCAGTGGGATTTCAATGGGATTTCAATGGGATTTCAATGGGATTTCAATGGGATTTCAATGGGATTTCAATGGGGTTGCAATAAGGTTTCAATGGGATTTCAATGGGATTTCAATGGGATTTCAATGGGATTTCAAAGGGATTTCAATGGGATTTCAATGGGATCTCAATGGGATTTCAATGGGATTTCAATGGGGTTTCAATGGGATTTCAATGGGATTTCAATGGGATTTCAGTGGGATTTCAATGGGATTTCAATGGGATTTCAATGGCATTTCAATGGGGTTTTAATGGGTTTAACTGAATGGAATGGGATTGTAATCCACTTAATGGGATATACCCTCTGGTAAATTAACAGTTTGCCATGGAAAATCAACATTTTTCATAGGTAAATCAACGAACTCAATGGCCATGTTCAATAGCTATGTTAAATTACCGGATGGTATATCCCTATATTAATGATTAACGATATCCCATCAACCCCCCCGTGTATGAAGATTGTATGGTATGTATACACATAGCATGCGTTAATATGCACATAATATCCTCAATTATATCCAACATTATCCAACCGTACACCCTCTGGTAACCAAACATGGCAGCATATGGCAATGGAGACTCCCCCCTTTAAAAGCCGATGATACTCCCATAAAAACACCATGTGTAGAGGATATCCAAATGCCACGTTTCATAACCGTGAACCGGTGCCAGAGGGTATATTCCACTATATCCCATTAGATCCTCATTATATCACCATTAGATCCCGCCGTTACTGTGTATGTCCTCGACCATATCCCCATATCAAATATTATATATTTATCTGTGATCCCAGTATATCCCATTGTATTTCCCATAGCTATGTTAGTTTACGTAAAAATGAGCCACCAAGAAAAAACAATGGTTTACGAAGCATATATCGGACTACATCGGCAATATCCACAAGTATCTCCAACATTCTCAATACCCTCTGGTAAACTAACATAGCTATGGAAAATCACCATTTTTAATGGGAAAACTCACTATAAATGGCCATTTTCAATAGCTATGTTAGTTTACCAGAGGGTAACCATATATCTGCTTAATAGCGTGTCTGTTATATCCACAGTTATTTCCAACATTATCCAGAATCATATTCTCATTATATGTCCATATCCAGATCATATCCGCTCCCGGATCCAGGGTTTCAAATGAAGTGGTAAAAATGAACCAGAAATACCGCCGTCCCATCTTAAATATTGATATATCCTCATTACATCCCATTATATCCAATGAATTCCAATGATATGTTCATATAAAAATGAGCGTGTCTGGAAATAGGGGATACCCACAAATAGCGATAATCCATTGGAATTGGGCGTAGCCTATTTTCAGACGAAGCCAGTTTTCTCATATATTGTGATAAAAAAAATGATGTGCACTATATGATATAGATATACTAATCATGATGATAAGTATCACATTATGTATAATATATATATATATATATATCATCTATTCATCTACTGTATCATATATCATCACTAACCCAACATATATGCTCCATAGCTGCCAGTGACTTTTCTTACCGCCATCTCCTCTTCATGGGTAATGGATAATGGGATACTGTAGGTATATACAGTAGATGACATATATATATATATAATGTAATACTTATCATCATGATTAGTATATCTATGGATGTAATTATATATATATAATTACACAATATTCCAATGATATTTTCAGATATGTTCAATAGCTGACTTTTCCATCGCCATCTCCTGATCTTCATCCTGATCTTCCAAGTCTGACCAGCGCCAGTTGCTGCGTTTGATGCAGCTTTCTGTGGCGGTCTTCATCGTGCCGGCCGTGGCGGGGACGGGGACAGGGACGGAGACGCGCCTAGGATCAAGGGCTGAGTCGGATCTATGGTTATAGCAACCCCCCGATCTACATGTTCATGTATGCAAATATATCTCTATATATATATATATGAATGTATATGAATGTATATGAATGTATATGAATGTATATGAATGTAAATGAATGTGTGAATGTATGAATGTATGAATGTATGAATGTATGAATGAATGAATGTATGTAATGTATGTAATGTATGTAATGTATGTAATGTATGTAATGTATGTAATGTATGTAATGTATGTAATGTATGTATGTATGTATGTATGTATGTATGTATGTGTGTATGTATGTATGTATGTATGCATGTATGTATGTATGTATGTAGGTATGTAGGTATGTAGGTATGTAGGTATGTAGGTATGTAGGTATGTAGGTATGTAGGTAGGTAGGTAGGTAGGTAGGTGGGTAGGTAGGTATGTATGTATGCATGCATGCATGCATGCATGTATGTGTGTGTGTATGTATGTATGTATCTATGTATCTATGTAATGTATGTAATCTATGTATCTATGTATCTATGTATGTATGTATCTATGTGTCTATGTGTCTATGTATGTATGTTTTGCATGTTATGCATGTTATGCATGTTATGGATGCTATGCATGTTAGGTATGTTATGTATGTTATGTCTGTAATGTATGTAATGTATGCAATGTGTGTAATGTGTAATGTGTGTGTAATGTGTGCAGTGTGTGTGTGTAATGTGTGTAATGTATGTAAATGGTGTGTAATGTATGTAAATGTAATGTAATGTAACGTAATGTAATGTAACGTAATGTAACGTACTGTAATGTAATGTATGTAGTGTATGTAATGTATGTAATGTGTGTAATGTATGTAATGTATGCAATGTATGTAGTGTATGTAATGTATGTAATGTATGCAATGTATGTAGTGTATGTAATGTGTGTAATGTGTATAATGTCTGGAATGTGTGTAATGTGTTTAATGTGTGTAATATGTGTAATGTGTGTAATGTATGTAATGTATGTTATGTTATGTTATGGTATGGTATGGTATAAATGTATTATGAATGTACTATGAATGCATTATGAATGTATTATGAATGTACAATGAATGTATTATGAATGTATTATGAATGTATGAATGTATGAATGTATGAATGTGTGAATGTGTGAATGTGTGAATGTGTGAATGTGTGAATGTGTGAATGTGTGAATGTGTGAATGGAATGGAACGGAATGGAATGGAATGGAATCTAATCTATGTATGTATGTATGTATGTATGTATGTATGTATGTATGTATGTATGTATGTATGTGTACGTATGCGTATGTATGTATACAATGTGTATGTATGTATTATATGTATGTATATGTATGTATATGCATGTATATGTATGTATATGTATGTATTTGTCTGTATATGTATGTATGTGATGTGTATGTATATGTATGTATATATGTATGTATATGTATGTATATGTATGTATATGTATGTATATGTATGTATATGTAACGTATATGTATGTATATGTATGTATATGTATGTATATGTATGTATATGTATGTACATGTATGTATATGTATGTATATATGTGTATGTATATGTATGTATATGTATGTATATGTATGTGTATGTATGTCTATGTATATGCATGTATATGTATGTATGTAATTATGTATGTATGTATGTGTGTTTGTATGTATGTAGGTAGGTAGGTAGGTAGGTAGGTAGGTATGTAGGTATGTAGATATGTAGGTACGTAGGTACGTACGTACGTACGTACGTACTTATTTAGGTATGTATGTATGTATGTATGTATGTATGTATGCATGTATGTATGCATGTATGTATGTTTGTATGTATGTATGTAGGTAGGTAGGTAGGTAGGTATGTAGGTATGTATGTATGTATGTAGGTATGTATGTATGTATGTATACATATCTGAAAAATATTTAAAGATATACATAGATATAGATATGCATATAGATATGCATATAGATAGATATTTATAGATTGATTGATGGATTGATAGATTGATAGAGTGATAGATTGATTGATAGATTGATAGAAAGATGTAGATGTAGAAGTAGGTGTAGATGTAGAAGTAGGTGTAGATGTAGAAGTAGGTGTAGATGTAGATGTAGTATAGAATGGTCTCGAAAAGGAATGGATCACTTGTTTGGGGTTACATTTTAGTTTTCTATCTTTGTTGTGGCTGCTATAATAAATGCGTATGAAAAATGGTAATCGGCTGTAATTGCACCATAACCAAGCAACGAGATAGAAGTGACCCACGTTTTGCCCCAGATATCTGGCTGGTGGTTGACCTACCCCTCTGAAAAATATGAGTTCGTCAGTTGGGATGATGAAATTCCCAACATATGGAAAAATAATCCATTCATGTTCCAAACCACCAACCAGATATAGTGTTTCATATAGTGGACTAGGTATAACTGTATTATAATAGGGTATATTCCCAATTGTAGCCATTTAATAGGGATAATGATCAGCAAAACCATTGGGTTTAGGGGTACACTAACTGTATAACTTATAGCCCAATGACAAGCCATCCTAACTGGGAAGGGCTTCGCAGTGGGGAACCCCCCTTGGTGGAGACATGGCCCCGACGCCCTGCAAATCCTACGCCCAACGTCTGGGCATTTCTAACCAGAACGAAAAACACAACGGCTATACTACGGCTTTTTTCGCAGTGAAAAATCGACTTTAGGTTTCCGGGATTCAGATTTTTAGGGTTTGAGGTTTCTTGGGTTTTGGGGCTTTGGATTTGAGTGTCTTGTCTTGGAAAATCTCCACAAAAAATGCTCGACCTACGCAGGGTAGGTAGCATGTCAAAGGAGATACGGGGCTCTGGAGAATCGGGGAGATGGGAATGCAAGTGACCACAAGTACCCAAAAGTAGGACAGCTGGATGTTGACAGTGCTTGGACATCATTTGTTTTAATGTCCCCCTCATCCAAATATATCCAAATAAGAGTGGACGTGCAAATCAAGAAAGAAGAATAAAGATGTTCTCCTTTCAAAGGAACGGGAAGAATAGCCAACAAATGCCAACAACACGTGCTGTTGATCTTTTAAGCACCTCCCAGCTAAATTGACCACTAGCCACTAGCTATTTTGCTGTCCCTGATAAGCCTTGATTTTGTGGCAGATCCGCATCCCCTGAGGCTCCAAAGTGCTATCCATAGACGCGTTTGCGGAAAAAACACAAACATGGAAAAAAACCATACGAAAACACATATATGGAAAAAAACTATGTTCGTAAATACTTGCGCTGGTGGTTAAATATGGTATTCATGCACCCTTTGGGTACCAAAGACTGGCTGGGAGAGAAAAAACGGCCAAACACATCGGGGGACCTGGGGCAAGAAAGAGTATGTGTGTGTATACATCCATGAATAGCTACAAACACGCATAGATATATAAATGAATATGTGAATTAATGTGAACTAATGTGAATTACGTATTTTTTAGGCCTGAAATCTGCTAAGAAAGCACGGCGGCTTTCGAACTCGGCTGCCGCAAGAAACACACTTCAATATGTGGAATACCTATGTCGTTTTTCCCGAGGGCGTATATTTAATTGGTCACACAGGCTAGTGCTGCCAAATACAATCCTAGGAATCTGATGCTCTTTGCACACCCTTCGCGAGCAGCTTGCACAGGATGAGCGCGTATTGTTAAAGCGCCAGCGTTTGAAAAAGTCATGCGCAGATTGTGCTACCAGATTTGTTCAAGAGTGAATCTCGACACATGCATGTTTTTTTACTGGAAGCATGTTTGCCTCTTAAAACCCGAACGTCCATTCTTTTAAACCATCCTGACCTTTGAAATCAAAGTCAATGATGAAGCGGCCAAGGTTTCAAGCTGGGCAGTCATGATTTACACAAATCAAAAATCCAGACATAGAATGCACACATCAATTTTCGTTGCCTAACTAGGCCATGGTCGGTCTTCTGATGGCATATCCATGCAAAATTGCACGAAAGAAGCTAAAGGAGAGGGATTAGGTGCTGCGATAATATCGAGACAGGACAAGAACACTGGTCAAAGCTGGACACAAAGATTGTTGAGACAGATTTTTCGACTGATTTGTTTGAAATGACCAGACATTGCACTCAATCCCAACAAATTCAAGCCCTTAGTTGAGCCGAAGTGCTTTCTTGGCAGGTAAAAAATCCCCTCTTCATCGGGAAAGAACAATCCGTTCCGTCTGGACCAGAAAACTTTAACAAAAATAACGCAAAAGTGACCTAAAACGCTGTTGTTTCTATCACCGCCTAAACTTCAACTGTTTTGGTACCAAGAAGAACTTGAACAATGGCCTTCAGGCCTTCAGGCCTGCACAATTTAGCACCTCAGCCCTGAACAACGAAACGCTGTGAGAAGGAAAATTTCAATCCCAAGAGCTGTCATTAGGCATTTCGCACCTGAAAGCCTGAACGGATCTCAATGTTGTACTTTTGCTTTTTGAATAATTATGAACATGGTCCAAGTGTCAGTTGTTGGTTCTGTACACAGATCCGTCGTCTACCATGCCTTGGATTTTTGCTCCATATCTTTAAGCCTGGCCCGGATATTCAAAACTATGTTGAAATCATTTTTTGTGCCAAAAACAATCAAAAACATATACTAGGAATGGCGTTTGCGGCTTGGAAAATGGTGGCAACATTAGTTTTACCCTTTCAAGAAATCATGGTTTCTTGAGACAAAGATTGGGCGGGCATTTCAAACTTCAAACTGCACATTTAGTTTTTTTGTATGAACAAACTGCCCCGGAAATTCAAGGGACACAATGTTTTGGAATTCTGGCAGATGCTCTGTTAGAAAACTTTCACAATGTGTATTTGTATAGGTATTCCCATGGCAGCGAATCCTTTGCTTTGCAGGCCAGTGAATATATCCTAAGCCTTTGTAGCTCTGAGGGCCACAAACTACAATATATGTTTCCCAGCCACCAAGAACCAGTTTGCTTGACGCGCGGTTTCATCCAGAATTGTTTTCTACGGAATGATCATGCTTCCAGGCTTGCCAACGTGCGTCCGAAAACAGAACTGCATCAGAAGATATCGGAAGTACGTGCATAGGGAGTAGTGGACCTTAAGCTCCCCAAACCTCTAGCCATGTCGAATCACGCAGAATCACGCGGAATCACGCCAATTTTTGTCTGAGAGCGCGTTTTCGTAAAAGCAATCACGCCCAATCACGCTCAATCACGTGAGCATATTTTCGCAATGTATCTTTCAGATCGTTTTTTTTGCTTGATTTTACCTACGATACCTTTCCCTTGACTAATTTGGTGGAGAAAAAACTGCATTTGTTTACAAGAAAGTACTTCCAATGAAATGTGACGACATGATTTATACGATTAAGCATTTGACTCCAACATACAGTCATGGTGTCGTAGCCACAGCCCTTCTTTCAGGTTGCTGCCATGATTGCATGATGGGGTGTGACCTGTTTTTAATGTTTGCTTCCCATGTTGAACAATGTCCAATCATCACCTCAAGGCTGTTTGAAACTTGATCACAGGTTTACCGCTGTCAGTTGGCTAGTTGCACAGCAATTTTCATCTAACAACAGACGATTCCGGAAATAAGAAGTATTATGTTGATCAAATTTACTTTGGGCAAACTACTAGTACCACTTGAGAAGGAAAATTTTCAACCCAATGGTCTCCCTTATCCTATCCTTTCTAGATGTTTCTTTCGCAACTATAAGTTTGATGTTTCTTTCCAACAGGAGCGGCCAAGAGCACAACAGTGGCATAGCAACGAAAGTGTACAGGAAGTTGTTCAAATGGAAGTTGCTTCGGGGACCTTAGACAAATCTATACAAATGTGTTTCCTTACAGACTCTGTGCATCACCCTGCTAGCAACACTGGATACATGAAGGCACATATTACTACTTTCAAGCAAGCTATATGCACTATAGTGTAACTTCCTTGCGACATGTGACAACCACCAGATTGATACCATCAGTTGCCCTATAAACTGTAGAGGAATCACCCCCGCTGGACCTTCTGTTCAGATTAGCAATTCAGAACCCCAAGAAAAAACAATCCGGTGAAAGTGAAAGAAACTAGCTGCAAATTCTTGATGCAGATTTCACCCATACTTTTTGTTCGGGGAAAAACGCACTAGTTTTCCCCGTTTTCCCTTTCAAAGACCCCGTTTTTTTCCAAAATATTTATGTGATCGTGGATTTGCTGCATTTGCTTTTGGATTCGTATGTATAGGCACCCGCAAGGCAATATCTATGGACAGGAGTCAAAATCCTTCCCTCATGACCCTATACTCAACAACAATACTCCAAGAGCAACCCAGGACCCTGTTCCTTGCCAAAACCACATCTATCATTTTTCCGGTTCCTATCACAACTGCAGGGTTTTTCACATTCTGCACCAGGGTTGGTAAAGAGTACGACTAAGGCACTGTAATGTCTGCCCACAGGATTTCTTCCGAATACTTTTGGCAATGTCAAATAATGTCAAATAGGTGCTCTGGGGAAAGTGAAAATCTATTATGAAGCAGGATGCTGTAATTTCTGATAGACTGATAAATCAGTTGCAGCACACTAACTGCAAGTCCAAGCGAGGTCTGCTTGTGAATTCTGAACTTTGTAAACACCTTGCCAGAACAGTTCAACCCTGAGAATTGGTCAAGAAAAACCTGGCCCAAATACTTATCCTTTTTTCTCCTTTGTCAAATGGGTAGACCTCTGTGTGCTAATTTTTAGTACGGTTTTTGAGGTACTTGCTAACTAAAGGAGTAATGAATACAACGAAATGGATCAGTTCTTGTAAATACTGCCTGTAGTGTGTCAAAGGTTCACCATTCTAATCGGAGACCGTTTACAGATAGGAACTCCGTATTAAGAATGTTGAAACAATATCAAAACATGTTCCGTTCATGGCTTTGCATGACAAGAGGGGATAAACAGTGCATGGACTTACCGCATATAGAAGATTAGAGAGTGATGGCGAGAGAAACATGTAGAAAATATAGATGTGAAATTGTTGCAGGGATGATCGACAGGGCCCTTTTTGTCCCAGAGCGCGTTTCGTAAACCAAACACATTCTCAGACCAAAACACATTCTGGGACACTTTTGCCCACATTGTGTCTATTTTTGCGTTTGGGAGCCTCAGGGATCCTAACTATACCTATTTCGCAGAAAATTCTGCGTAAACCCAGGGTTTTTCACGACGTAGCATGGACTCCACCGTTGGCTCCACCATGGACACCATGTCCAACACTTCGAGGTATCGAGGTACAGCTCTGTGGTCATTCCTTGAAAATCGAAAGTCGTGGGGCAATCGCGCTGAAAATCGTCACAAAGCCTGAGCTGCGCAAAAAGAGTTTTCAGTGAGCCTGTGGAAAATCACGCGCCCTAGGCTATAGCATATGGTAGCATCATGTTTTTCCCCAAACCTAAACGACAAACAGTATGTTGTCATCATAACATGAATCGGCATTCGGTTCAACATGGTTTAATCATCAATTATGCATATATGCCATAGACTGCGGTACAGCAACCCCAAATACATAGAAATGTTGGAAACCTCGGAAATTGCGGCGTAAACATAGGGAGGTTTCCTAAAATATGGGTACTCCAAACCATTGGTTTTCCCATTGATCATAACCAATTCTGGTTGGTGGTTATACCTACCCCTCTGAAAAATGATGAAGTTCGTCAGTTGGGATGATGGCATTCCCAAGATATGGAAAGTCATAATCCATTCATGTTCCAGTCACCACCAACCAAATAATATTGCCGTAAATATTCAAAAAAGACCTTGACAATATTTGACAATATCACATCTGAATGATTTTAGCCAATTTGGGATGATTTTACATGTGGCAGTGTGTCAAAACCTTGTACCCCTGGTGAACATCAAAATAGCTGGTAAATGGATGTTCATCCCACTAAAAATGTATCTATAGGTATTGACCCATACCCATGTCTGTAGCATCGAAAACTTTGCAACCCGCAGAAAAAAAGCACCAAGAAACCCTTCGGGTCGCCCCTGAGTCGCAACATCCTGTGCGGGACCAACCGGGACTTCGGGAAGGATTTTTTGTGCCGACAGAAAAATGAATCAAAATCCATCTTCAACCAATATCAAGCAAAAATCATTTCAGTTATGACACATAATTATACATAATTATGATACTTGACATGGATTTGACATGTATTTTACCATGGCATTTTGCCATTTGTTTGATGTGGATTTACCTCGGAACCTATCACTGGTGGATGGGATTTCTTCGCGGCGCCTGCAATCGAACGCCGGGCTCACTGCGAAGACTCCCCGTGGGGGTTCTGCCTGACGGTGACACAGCGACATCCAGCGGTTCTTTGATAATTTTACTGGGTACTAATATAAAGGAATATACAGGAATAAGTTACATATGATCATGTATCATGTATATATATATATCCGTGTGTATGTGTGTGTACATATATAAACATATAAACAATTATATAAATATTCATTTGTTTAATATAAACATATAAACAATTATAACAATTATATAAACATATAAACAATTATATATTCATTTATTTCTGTGTTTACATTTAATATCATAAACATTCATCCTTGGATTTCTCGTGTGTTCGTCCACGGCCGAGGTTTAAAAATTGATGGCTGCTGCCATGGCACACTCCTGAGGCAATCCCATGCACCAAAGAAAGTCCTCAGCGACAGGAAAGTCAGCACCCGAAGACATGGAAATGACATGGAAATGACATGGAAATGACATGGAAATGACATGGAAATGAAGAGAAACCGCCAAGAAACCAAGTCTTCCACTTGCTCACGTAGAGTTGTTTTTTTTCGGATTTGGGGTTCTTTGTTGGTTCGAAAGGAGTTGCATGAGTTACCTTCTTGCAATCATGGCTTGGAGGGAAAGTCACCTGGGAAATCAGCCGTGTGAAAAATGAGTTCCCGCAGGTGGTTCGGGTGTCTGAGTCTATCCTCGGGTAGTCAAACATGGCAACGGAAGATTCCATAGAATTCCCCGTTGACAATTGAGTTCGACGATTTTCCTAGCTATAAACCTCCATTGACTCCATTTAGTTTGGGGATTTCCCAGCTATAAACCTTTTTTTATATGAGATTTTCCAAGCTATGTTCCTGGTGAAACGTTAATTTATAGCTAGCCATGTTTGCCGCTGTGATCTCAAGCCTGACGGCCATCAAGTAGCTATGGAAAATCACCATTTTCAATGGGAAAATCCACTATAAATCACCATTTTCAATAGCTATGTTAGTTTACCAGAGGGTACATATTCAAATGATTCCTTATATGATCCCTTAAATGATTCCTTAAATGATTCCAAGTGCCCACGTTGCTTGCTTGAAAAGCAGCCAAACTCATGAAACCTGAGTAAAACAGCTCAGACTTCATCATATTTCACCATGTCTTCGTGCCTATGTTCAGCAACATCCAGCGGATTCAATGTGCTGAGGATCCGTAGCTTTCACTGAAGTTCTCCAGCTCGGAGATCATGAAAAGGCTGATGCCCACCCCAAAACGAAGAAGCCTCGCTGCGCGCTGCATCGTACGCGATGTCACCAAGAGCTGTTGGAGATTCGTGCATGGGCAATTGTATAATATACATATGTAAACAATATGCTTAAAAGTATGTAAAAATATGTACTGCAATGTACTGCACAAATATGTATGTACGTACGTATGTATGCATGTATGTATATTATATATATATATATATCCCACAGACATTGCACGGCCTCACCAGTTGATTTCCCCAAGGTGGATGATCATCAGGTGAACCTCGTAAGCCTTACTGGTTGGTGGTTTCAACCTACCCGGAACCCCGAAAAATGAAGGAGTTAGGTAGGTCATTTGGGATGATGACATTCCCAAGTGTTTCTGGAAAGTCATGTCATCCATTCATGTTCCAAACCACCCAGCAGCTTATTGTTTAATCCTCCATGTTCAAACACACCCAAATCCACACCGCCCGGACTGACGATCCGAACTCAGAAACTCACGAAACGGGGCCCTGTTCAAAAATAGATGGAGTTGATCGGCACGTCGGCACGTCGGCGCGCAGAAATCGACGTCCGGATGGCTTTGCTGTAAATGGCTCAAGCAGCGGTGAGCTAAGGGCTAGGCTCCCTTCAATGCGCTAAGCCGCTACGAGCGTTGGCTAGTTGTGAATCTGACAAAACACTGCGCGTATACAGCATAGACATCTATAGCACACGTATGTATGCAGTGTGTGTATGTATACAGAACAAATATGTGTGAGAGTTTTGTGCATTTGCGTGACAAAAAGCATGGTACGGGCATTTTTTAATCATCCAACGATGTGGTGTTCAGGTGGGCTGGCGGCCATGCTGTTTTCTGAGGGCCTGGGGGTAACTCTTGGGTTGCTCTTTCATCTCCAAATCCAAAAATATGTCAAGCTAGGTCAACAACACCTGGAAAAAAACAAGTGTCATTGTGTTCAAATTGAAATGGGAGCAGCTTGAACCGCGGCAAGAAGATTTCACCCTACCACTGTGCGGCAACTTTGTTTCAGCAACTTTCTCCAGTTTCCTCTGGAAAGATCAGTGCAGAAAGATCTTATAAAAAGTCCAGTTGAAAAGCGCTGATACCATGCCAAAACAAGATGAAGCCCACGAACCCGAATGCTCACACGTATGTTAATGGCACAGATGTCAAAACACATGGTTATGCAGTCACGCACAATACCTTTCTGCAATAGTTTATTTGAACAGTCTTGTACATGTTTCCCTTGTTACCAGTCTGCAGTGTGGAGTGGAAAGTGCAGAGCGTGGAGTGTGGAGTGTGAAGTAAGGAGTGTGGAGTGTAAAGTGTGGAGTGGGGAGTGTAGAGTGTGTAAAGTGTAGAATGCGGAGTGTAAAGTGTAGAGTGTGGAGTATGGAGTGTAAAGTGTAGAGTGTGGAGTGTGGAGTGTGGAGTGTAGAGTTGTAGAGTGTGGAGTGAGGAGTGTAAAGTGCAAAGTGTGGAGTGTGGAGTGAGGAGTGTAAAGTGTGGAGTGAGGAGTGTGGAGTGTAATGTGAGGAGTGTAAAGTGTGGAGTGAGGAGTGTGGAGTTTGTAAATTGTAGAGTGCGAAGTGTAGAGTGTAATTTTAGAGTGTAAAGTGTAGAGTGTGGAGTGTAGAGTGTAGCGTGTGGAGTGTGGAGTGGAAAGTGTAGAGTGTGGTGTGTAGAGTGTGGAGCGTGGAGTGTAAAGTGTGGAGTGTAGAGTGTGGAGTGTAAAGTGTAAAGTGTAGAGTGTGGAGTGTGGAGTGAGGAGTGTAAAGTGTGGAGTGTGGAGTGGACTATTGTGTGGAGTGTGGAGTGTGGAGTGGAAAGTGTGAAGTGTGAACAGTAAAGTGTGGAGTGTAAAGTGTGAAGTGTGGAGTGTAAAGTGTGGATTGTGGAGTGTGGAGTGTAAAGTGTGGAGTGTGGAGTGTGGAGTGAGGAGTGTAAAGTGTGGAGTGTGGAGTGAGGAGTGTACAGTATAAAGTGTGGAGTGTGGAGTGTACAGTAAAGTGTGGAGTTTGGAGTGCGGAGTGTGGAGTGGAAAGTGTAGAGTGTGGAGTGTGGAGTGTAAAGTGGGGAGTGTGGAGTGTAGAGTGTGGAGTGAGGAGTGTAAAGTGTAAAGTGTGGAGTGTGGAGTGTAAAGTGTGGAGTGCGAAATGTGGAGTGGAAAGTGTAGAGTGTGGTGTGTAGAGTGTGGAGTGTGGAGTGTAAAATGTAAAGTGTGGAGTGTAGAGTGTAAAGTGTAGAGTGTGGAGTGTGAAGTGTAGAGTGTAAAGTGTAGAGTGTAAAGTGTAGAGTGTGGAGTGTAGAGTGTAAAGTGACGATTGTAAAGTGTGGAGTGAGGAGTGTAAACGTGTGGAGTGTGGAGTGTAAAGTGTGGAGTGCGGAGTGTGGAGTGGAAAGTGTGGAGTGTGAAGTGTGGAGTGTAAAGTAAGGAGTGTGTAGTGTAAAGTGTGGAGTGTGGAGTGTAAAGTGTAGAGTGTGGAGTGTGGAGTGTAAAGTGTAGAGTGATGAGGGAGGAGTGGAAAGTGTAGAGTGTAGTGTGGAGTGTGGAGTGTAAAGTCTCAGGTGAGGAGTGAGGAGTGTAAAGTGCAAAGTGTAAAGCGTGGAGTGTAAAGTGTAGAGTGTGGAGTCTAAAGTGTAAATTGTGGAGTGTGGAGTGTAAAGTGTAGAGTGTGGAGTGCAGAGCTTCCCCCATAGACACGGCGACGCCACAGGAAAACCAGAGACTCGAGACGAGACACGTGGGTGCAAAAAACCGAGCATTTCGTGCGAGACTTCCTCCAATTTTGATATTTTTCCACACGTTATCAAACAGGTTGGAATGTCACAAAGTGCCACGCCTGCCACGCAAAACAACAGGACAACCTGCTTGGAAACATTCGAAAAGGTCAGGTTTTCCAGCTTCCCCCAAAGTCTCGGCGACGCCGCAGGAAAACCAGCGACTCGAGACAAGACACGTGGATGCAGAAAAACCAACATTTCGTACGAGACTTCCTCCAATTTTGACATTTGCGACACATCATCAAACAGGTTGGAATGTCAGAAAAAATGTCACGCCTGCCGACGCCTGCCACGCAAAACGGCATGACAACCTGCTTGGAAACATTCGAAAAGGTCAGGTTTTCCAGCTTCCCCCAAAGTCTCGGCGACGCCGCAGGAAAACCAGCGACTCGAGACAAGACACGTGGGTGCAGAAAAACCAGCATTTCGTACGAGACTTCCTCCAATTTTGACATTTGCGACACATTATCAAACAGGTCGGAATGTCAGAAAGTGCCACGTCTGCCACGCACAACGGCATGACAACCTGCTTGGAAACATTCGAATAGGAGAAGTTTTCCAGCTTCCCCCATAGACACGGCGACGCCACAGGAAAACCAGCGACTCGAGACAAGACACGTGAATGCAGAAAAACCAGCATTTCGTACGAGACTTCCGGCAATTTTCACAGTTGGCAACATGACAAAAGGACAAGTTTTGCAGCTTCCCCCATAGACACGGCGAGGCCACGGGAAAACCAGACACGCGAGACGAGACAGGTGGGAGCACCAAAACGAGCATTTCGTGCGAGACTTCCTCCAATTTTCACACTTTGTAGCTTCAAAATCGACGTTTTCCTACGAGTTTTCCTTAGAACCTGAAAATTTGCAACCTCAAAATCGATGTTTCGTGCGAGGCTTCCGTCAATTTTCACCACATCGCACAAAATGCCACGCCTGCCACGGAATTTGCAACTTGTCGCCACTTGACGCAGCCCTGCCAATGCGATTGGCAAAAAACACGCAACACGACACGTCTAAAGTGCTGCGCCTGCCACGAAAAATGACGATGGACACGTCCGAAGTGCTGCGCCTGCCACGAAAACTGCAACACATCTTCTGAAAACGTCGCAAAAGTATTGCGCCTGCCACGCGCAACGACTTTCGACACGTTGCAGAACACGTCTGAATGTCACGAAGTGCCACGCCTGCCACGCGAAACGAAGCAACCAGACGTCTGAAACCTCCAAAAAGGACCACCTCTGCAAAACTTCCCATAGGCACGGCCATACGGAGTTCGTACGGACGGTTGCGGACGGTGCGCTTGTGAACGCAACGTCGAGCGAACACACCCTCAACCCCCAGACCCCCAGAGTGAAACGGGAACCCTTGCTACGCATTCGGGAAAAACACCTGCATTTTCAGCTGGCAAAAAGGTCCAAGTACTAAAGTGTCCATCCAAGTTGAACCCAAACTTCTTGGTATCCCCAGAAAATATCTCCCAGAGCCCACAAAACAATAAAAACATATAAAAACAATACCATAATTCTATAGAATTCTTGGTTCTACATGGTACCCTCTGGTTATGTCAAAATAGCTATTGAAAATTTCCCAGTCGAAATAGTGGATTTACCCAGCTACAAAATGGTGGATCTTTCCATAGTTATGTTAGTTTACCCATTAACTCCCCGGGCATCTTTTCACCGCAGCCGCGAGCCGCGTGTCTTCGTTGTCTTCGGCCCCGCCTGACCAAGGTGGTGCCCGGTTAAAACTGGCCAACTTCGCCAAGGGCACCTGGAAATCCTGGAAATCATGGTTAATCAAACATAGAAAAGCCTCCCAAAGACTTTTTAAGCACCAATCCTACTGTGTAAAATTGTCCAGCTTTCCAAAACCATAGTTGGATGAAAATATGCCAATTTTCATATACAAGTTTTGCATAGTTTTGCTACAAATCATGCATCTTACAAGCTGCAAGCTTGCCCCAAACTGGGAATCGATTTAAGTACTGGCTTTCTACTATCACTCACCAAGACTCTGCGTTATTTTCAACTGTTTTGAACATGTTGCCGCCATTACCCAAAAAAGATTGCTTTCGCAAAGTAAGATGACTTATACCACAACTACCCCAAATACATCAAAATACCAATTTTCCAGGGGGCAACGTTATTAACATACCATATCATACCATCACCACATCCCGCGGCAACGCCATCCCAAGGCCACCCCAACGCGCTCCCAACGCCGTCGTTTTGGCTGTTCCAACCCGCTGCAGATCGGAAAATGCGAAACTTCCAAGGCGCGCCGAGCATTTTGGCTGTACAAAATCTGCGCTTTGCTGGGCTCGACCATGGTGGCCACGGGAAGGGATATGGATTATAGATATATGGATATATATATATATATATGTATGTGTGTATGTAATGTAATGTAGTGTGTGTAGTGTAGTGTAGTGTAATGTATCTATGTATCTATGTATCTATGTATCTATGTATCTCTGCATCTCTCTATCTCTCTATCTATCTCTCTATCTCTCTATCTATCTATCTATCTATCTATCTATCAATCATTATCTATCTATCTATCTATCTATCTATCTATCTATCTATCAATCATTATCTATCTATCTATCTATCTATCTATCTATCTCTCTCTCTCTATCTCTCTATCTCTCTATCTCTCTATCTCTCTATCTATCTCTCTATCTCTCTATCTCTCTATCTCTCTATCTCTCTATCTCTCTATCTCTCTATCTCTCTATCTCTCTATCTCTCTATCTATCTATCTATCTCTCTGTCTATCTATCTATCTATCTATCTATCTGTCTGTCTATCTATCTATCTATCTATCTATCTCTCTATCTCTCTATCTCTCTATCTATCGATCTATCTATCTATCTCTCTCTCTATCTCTCTATCTATCTATCTATCTATCTATGTATCTATCTTTCTATATATCTATCTATCTTATCTAATCTAATCTAATCTAATCTATCCTATGTATGTAATGTAATGTAATGTAATGTAATGTAATGTAATTGAATGTATATAAATGAAATGAAAGATAATGTAATGCAATGTAATGTGTGTATCTATGTATGTGTGTATGTGTGTATGTGTGTGTAATACATATATATATATATTATATAATTTCAAAAGACTTAACCTCACGGCATATGATATGTATATAGACATCTTTCAAGTCAAAAAGTTCCGTTACGTGGCGGCTTCCATGGGCTCAGAGCCAGTCTAGGAAGGGCTCCAGGTTTAGCTCCAAGGCTGAGGTGGGCATATTGATCTCGAAGCATTTCTTGCCTCGACAACTGGTGCCGGAAGATACCCGGCCTGGTAAACAGCCACATTTCACGAACTGGAAAGATCCACCATGCATTTTTCATGGGAAAATCAACTATTTCGACTGGGCCATTTTCGATAGCAAACTGTTAGTTTACCAGAGGGTACTGGAGAAGTGCTGGAGTTTCAGGTGACACAGCTTCTTTCCTTCAAAGAAAAGTATGCTGTTCTAAGTGTTTTTTGGAGGTTTTAAGTTACATGTTTTTGGTAAGATCTTGTAAGTCTTTGGGGTTGTTTGTTTGAAATATGGCTTTGTTAGCATTTTGAGTGGCAAACATTCTCTTGATTATTTGCGGTCACGCTAAGGGTCGGGTATGGCCCCAAATTCAGCAGGCCCGATTGGCACCGTGCCAGATGCCAGTGGTAAACTCAATCATCAACAAGACTCCAAAAACTAACTATTTTGTGGTCCTATCAACTGTCCCAAAATGAAAGATCCCAAAGAAAACGGTGATATACGTGCAACATATCACACCATACTCTAAAATTATATCAACCCAACTTTGGGATATGGGATGGTTTTCTTCTTTTGAGTTCACATCAACCACACTGAGTTCACTAGGCAGCCTGGGACGCAAACCCGACATGGGATCCACCTGCCGCCCAGGCACCCAGAACCTCGGGATGCAACTCGCCAATGATGCCGATCTTGATGCCCGAGCAGATGATATGCGCCTGCATCCCGGGAAAGAAGGCCTCGGCTGCCATGGGGAGGCACTTCTGCAGCCGTTTTTTTCCCAGAAAAAAAAAAGAAGTTGGGAAACTTTGCGTTCAAATCATCTTATCCCCGAGCCAAGTTGCAGGGTCATTGCTGGCTTCCAGCTTGAAGGTTCTTCGTTTGGAGCCCTCCTTCTGCTCATGCTCGGGCTCACCTCAATGCTCCCAATGGAATCCATGCAAAATCATGGGATGGATGCGCAACAGTTGAATAGGGGCCTGTTGTGGTAACTAATGCTCTTTTTTAAAAAGAAACATCCCATTTAGGAATGGGTTGTGCATGTTGTTACCACCCGTTTCTGGTAAAATCTTCTGGATACTTAAATTGCCAGGCTTTCAGTTCCAGCCCTTCAGGGCTTCAGGGCGGTTTTTTGGGAACAATACCCTCTGGTTATGTCAAAATAGCTATTGAAAATGACCATAGAAATAGTGGATTTTCCCATTAAACATGGTGGATCTTTCCATAGTTATGCTCGGATTATAATCCACTTACCCTCTGGTAATTTGTTACATAGCTATAGAAAATCACCATTTTTAATAGGTAAACCATCTATTTCTATGGGCCATGTTCCATAGTTTTTTGTATGTTTACCAGAGGGTTCAAGGAGAAACCAACCTGATCCTCAATCCAGTCACCCAAACAATGAGCATTGAAGGTTACTGAGCCTCAACAAATCCACCTTTCCCACACCATTTTGCCTCGGAAATCGCATTTTCTTCATTGGCCAGCCCATGATCCCCACCAAAAATCACCAAACCAGGTTCATAACCTCTATGTTGACCCATCAAGCCTCATCAACTAGTTCCCCATCGTTTCCCCATCATTTTGGTACTTAAAACCGAAAGATTTCATCTGGTTGGTGGTGTACCTAGCCCTCTGGAAAACGATGGAGTGCGTCAGTTGGGATGATGACATTCCCAATATATGGAAAGTCATAATCCATTCATGTTCCAGTCACCACCAACCAGTCATGCTTTTCCATGCACCATCGGCTAAGGGACAATTCAATGAGTACATCAGCTGATCCAGCGCACCATGCAGCAAAGAGAACTGGCTCCGCATGTTGCAATGCACTGCCACCAGGCGTCTCACGTTCTTGCCTCGTTCGCGCCCCGACCAACCGTTTAAAACGCGCCGTGCAGTTTGGCCCTAATGTGGGTAAAACATGGTAAAACATGGTAAAACAATATCATGAACCACGACTGGGAATGGTTTGAATCCCAGCGATTTATGGTGATGACTGGGGGATGGTTTATTATTGGTTTACCCACCATTTTTTGCTTTTGACCAATTTGGGATGATTAGGGAAGTATCTGACCTTGTAGTTCCAACGGCCCCAAGCACTAAAAATGAGTTTTGGAAGGTGGCAACTGGTCCCAAATTTCGATGTTGCTGCCACCAGCCTTGATATGATGGGTTGTGCCGTTGGGAAAATTCCTGGCACTGCATGCAATCCAACCTGGCACTGGAAAATACCTCAATGCCCATATATGCCCATTTAGTTCGGCTTGCCACGTTTGATGACACCGGAGTGTACGATTGTTGAAAGCACCCTAACAAAGGCGCATCATTGTGATCAACATCCTCCTTATCAGCAGATATGTCAGATAACTCGGAGGAAAATGAGATGTGCTAAGCCTAAGCCCTACAGAAAAACACCATCTTTCTCCCGTTAATATGATATCCCATGAAAACACTGCGAAAACCCGATTAAACCCATATATCTAAAGCACATTCTAAAACCATCAGTAACTGGCATACTAGCTCCATTCCCTGTGGCAAAGGTGCAACCAACTTCTTTGGTGGGCTCCTGAATCACCTTGGCGAGCAGAATCATCCCAGTTCCCTGATGTTTCAAGGTTGTTGGCGGATCTACAACCAGGCCGGGCCATAGGCTGAAACATATCCCAACGGGCTTGGGGGCTTAGTTCACCATGGCTGTGGTTAAAACAATGCCATATTTACCATCCCCAAATTCGCCATAAATGGTTGGGATTCAAACCATTCCCAAATGGGTAGTTTTATGATTGTTTTAACCACATTGTACCCGTTTCTAACCTCAACTGCGCCTCCAAGTAAGCGCTCACTACGACGACGAGCCACATCACAGCTCAGTCAGAAGCTCAAAATCTCTGGCTGGGCTCAACTAGATACAGCCAAGCCGTTGACACCGATCTTTGTTACCATTTAAATGGGAGAAAAAAGACAACACCTGGGATGATTTTTGAGATATTTTGTGAGTGAACATGTGGGATGATGTTTGAGTGAATAAACTGAATACACACTGGTAAACCAACAGTTTGCTATTGAAAATGGCCCAGTCGAAATAGTTGATTTTAACATATTTAACTATTTTTAACCATCAAAAATGGTGGATCTTTCCATCGTTTTTTGTATGTTTACCAGAGATTACCAGAGGGTAAACCACTCTTCACTCACCATCGCCAATCACGCCCGAGTGACCACGTCGCCCACCTCGAAAAGTCGGATGGGAGGAGGAAGCTGCCTCCAGGTTTTTCAAAACCGTTGCGGATGGCCGTGTTTTCCACTCAAATCCCACGAAAAATACGAAAATCCATGGAGAATCAGCTTCTATCAGCTACGAAACATCAGGATTTTTCCACTCAAATCCCACTAAACATCCGTTTTGCCATGGAAAGCTCAAGATGAAGAACTAAACATCAGGAAAAATCCCAGCCAATCTCAGCTGCAGGGTGCCAAAGGTGATCTTTGTTGGCTAGTTGGACCCCCATGGAGAGAAGATATCAACCTGGCTAAGTATGCGGCACAACCTTGCGGGGATATAGCCTCATAGCCACGGAAAATCACAACTTTTGCATAGGAGAATCGTCTATAAAGCGAGTTACTTACATAAATTGCTACAGAAAAAACATAGAAAAACAAGGAAAAACACATGAATGCTTTATCCGCATATGCCGATGCCGACAATCTTAACAGGCTTTCTATATGCATCCAGGAGGGGGAGAAAAAAAAACATATACTTCCCCATGCAATGCCATACCCATGTTTTTTTTTTTCAGCCAGTGGAGTGAATTCACAACTCTCATCGACTCGACTCGCCCATTGCCGACGATCGCTTTTACCAGGTTGCTTGTTATTGGCCAAGGTTTTCAAAATGCCAGGGATGAGAGTCGTTCTCACGATCTCGAAGCCAACTGTCCTGCGGGCACTGCGGGTTGGCTTAATTTCGAATGTAGCCTGGGCATCCAATTTGGCCACAGCCTATCCTGGCCCATATTTGGTAAGTGATGCAACCGGTCAGGTTTCAACAGAAAATGCACAATGTGATTATTGCATTGCAATGTCATCATCTTCATCATCTTCAACTGCCACTTTGAGAACCATGGTCCACATACATGATGATCCATTGGTGGGAATCTATAACGGCTATGGCTAAACGGCTATGGCTAGATACCCTTCACCGCTGTTCGGAGGCATGTATTCATGTACATATTTGATTACATATTCATGTGACCCATTGGCCATCATTAACAACTCGTTAACTATTCATTAACCATGCAGTAACTATTCATTAACAACTCCTTCACCACTAACATCTTCTTTCACCAGCGGCATCTCCTTCACCATTCCTTAACATGAGTTTACAGATCTTACGAATGGAACTGTTGAACCAAATGAAGGTTGATGATTACCTAACTCATTGTTCTACATGAGCAGTGTTCAAAATCCCTCTGTCATTCCATTTAATCCTGGTTGGTTAAGAACGGGATTCCCCGTTCTTGGATTATTGCAATCCCCAATATACAAAGGGTAGTTTGTATAATCCCCGAACTAATCATCAACCAACAGGGGTTTAGCAGCCACTGCTCACATGCGTTTGTAGACATACACCAGATTGTTAAACACCATATTAATCATATTAATCATATTAATCATATTAATCATATTAATCATATATATATACCATATATACCATATATATATATATAAACCATATATATATATATACCATATATAAACCATATATATAAACCATATATAAACCATATATATACCATATATAAACCATATATAAACCATATATAAACCATATATAAACCATATATAAACCATATATATACCATATATAAACCATGTATATACCATATATAAACCATATATATATATAAACCATATATAAACCATATATAAACCATATATAAACCATATATAAACCATATATATACCATATATAAACCATATATAAACCATATATAAACCATATATATACCATATATATACCATATATAAACCATGTATATACCATATATAAACCATATATAAACCATATATAAACCATATATAAACCATATATAAACCATATATAAACCATATATAAACCATATATAAACCATATATATACTATATATATACCATATATAAACCATGTATATACCATATATAAACCATATATAAACCATGTATATACCATATATAAACCATATATAAACCATATATATACCATATATATACCATATATAAACCATGTATATACCATATATAAATTAAACCATATATAAACCATGTATATATATAAACTTTATATATAAACCATGATGGAATTCACTACAGCCATCGGACTCCGAATCCGAAAAAATTCGGCGAACCAATCGGACTTTGGCCCGTCTTTGGGTTGGACACGGAGACGGAAGGAGAGGTCGCCTCAGGCTGTCAGGGGTCGAGTCCGAGAATCATCACCAATCATCACCATAGAGAGCACTACCCTCTGGTAAATTAACATAGTTATGGAAAATCACCATTTTTAATAGGTAAATCAACTATAAGTGGGCCATTTTCAATAGTACCCTCTGGTTATGTCAAAATAGCTATTGAAAATGGTCCATTTATATCCATTTATAGTTGATTTACCTATTGAAGATGGTGATTTTCAGGGTCTATGTTTATTTACCAGAGGGTATCATGACAAAAGAAATGACCATCATCATGATAAATATATATATATTAGTAATATCATAATAGTAATATAATATCATGTAATGATGGTTCATAATAGTAATATAAAAAGAATCATCATCATCATCATCATCATTAGTTTATCATGAACCATCATCATCATCATTAGTTTATCATGAAACATCATCATCATCATCAGCATCATCATCATCATCATGATCATCATCATCATCATCATTAGTTTATCATGAACCATCATCATCATCATCATCATCATCATCATTAGTTTATCATGAACCATCATCATCATCATCATCATCATCATCAGTTTATCATGAACCATCATCACCATCATCACCATCATCATCATCATCATTAGTTTATCATGAACCATCATCATCATCATCATCATCATCATCATCATCATTAGTTTATCATGAACCATCATCATCATCACCATCAGCATCATCATCATCATCACCATCATCATCATCATTAGTTTATCATGAACCATCATCATCATCATCATCATCATCATCATCATCATCATCATTAGTTTATCATGAACCATCATCATCATCATCATAATCATAATCATCATCATCATCATCATCATCAGCAGCATCATTAGTTTATCATGAAACATCATCATCATCATAATAATCATCATCATCATCATTAGTTTATCATGAACCATCATCATCATCATCATCATCATCATCATTAGTTTATCATGAACCATCATCATCATAATAGTAATATAATAAGAATGATGATGTTTATCATAATGATGATGATTTATCATGATGATGTTTATCATAATAGCAATACAATAAGAATAATCATCATCATGAAGCATCATCTTCTTCTTCATCATTAAAAAAAGGAAGAAAAAATGCTGATAAATGGATCCCTTTGCCAGAAATCACTGAATCATCTACAATCAAGATGCATCTTTTTCCCATAATCACAATATTTTAGAATAATCACATGATATCACATGGATCCACATGTCATGTCACTGCTCTGCGTGCTCTGCGTACCTTCCGCTCCAAGTTGCACTGTATTCATGCGGCTTCTCTACCGTCAGCTGTGCTCCCTTGGGATCTGGTTCCCGGCGCATCCAGGTGTAATTCTCCTGCGCGTTTATGAAAGGACGCAGGTCATCACTGAGACAGTTGGACTGATCGAATCGCATGATGTCACATTTTTTCGAGTTTTCCTTCACCAGTCACCTCCAACCATCAAGCGTCTACGACATTAACCACGGTAATAAACTTAACCTTAAAGATATTAAAGCAGAATTGAGCACGTTAACCACCGGCCAATCAGGTTCACCCCTTCTAACCAGCAACCACCTATCCATCTGACCATCCATTAGCCATCCTAGCCCGTCGGCCCGTTGGAGCGTTCCTTCTGCGACAGCAGGGACCAGTTCATACACTCCGTGAAACCCGCCATAGCCAGTTCTGTGCGCACCATGTCAGACAAATTATTCACCGGCTGCCCGCCAGACCTTGGAAGAGCGGCGGAAAGGAATTTTGGCAAATGTTAATCATAAGCTCTATAGTTAGTATAGTCTATATCATATATATATATAGTAATAGCTAATAGTAAATGATGAATCAGTATAGTCTATATTATAATATGCTAATCATATATATTATATATATATGTGTGTTTGTGTGTGTATCTGTAGATATATATATATATAGTAATAGCTAATCGTAAATGATGAATGATCTGATCAAGATTGCCAAATATTTGATATCAACAGAAAGACCTACAGAACGCCTGAAAACCATCGATCCAAGTCATTGATCTTCGCCCCATCCCCCAGTCTCGGACTCCGACACGGCCACCGTTTGCGGCACGCTGGTCTCCAGGTTGTTGTAGCCATACGAAATGGCCAAGTCCTCTACGAGATCACCTCAGGTTTTCTGAAATTGGACCCCTATAGTTGGGATGATGCAAAATGACCAACTCAACAGTTTAACTAATGACCCCCAAAAATGGTGGTTTTTCTGGGATGGCTTGGATATCTTGGATGAAAATTTACCTTAGATGATGTTCCCATGATTTCTAGGTTGATGTCACGACGATTTTCCCACGATTTCAGTGTTTTCCAGGTGGCATTCGTGCATGATGTCACTGCGCGTCACTGGCACCTGAGATGACGCCCGAAATGAGCTGAGCGCAATCGCATAGCAATCTCCAAAGAGATCGAAAAGTTGAATGCCATGCTTAAATCAAGAATGGCAGATTTACAACTAATTGGTGGTATACCTACCTACCCCGGCTACTCCCCTCAAAAATATGAGTGAGTCAGACTGGATCATCATCCCTTTTTTTTGGAAGTCATAAAAGTCCATGGTTCCAGTCACCAACCAGAGAATTTCCTGCATCTTTTTTGGGGGTTCATCCTCTGCACCTGGATATTTCGGCGGTTTTGGCGGGGGCCGACCAGATTCCAATGGTCAAGGGGGAACCACCCTGAGCCATCAATCTTTTGGATCTGGAACTCTAAAAACTCGTTGGTGGTGTACCTACCCCTATGAAAAATGATGGAGTTCGTCAGTTGGTGTTATTACAGCCAAGATATGGACAAATAAAATTCATGTTCCAAACCACCAACCAGAAAAAGTAACCATGTTTCCAGTGGCGAAATTCATCTTTCCAAGCCCTAGCCTTTTGGGGCCACGGCCCAAGTTCCAGGCCTGGACTTTCAAGACATCTTTGTCCTTGCCCACGTCACAGGGCAAACCTCGTGGCTGAGCTGGGTGCCATTGGTTGCTGCCTCCCTTCAGCCATTGGCTAGTCTTATGCTAGTTCCTACTACCTTTCAAAAAAAAATAACTTGGTAGATCTCACTAATATTTGGGAAAAACAATACGCCCATGTTTGGCCAAAGTTTGAACCAATTTGGAGTATAAAACCGGCCCAACCAAAGTTCAGGGTTGCCGTTGGCATGATGGGTTTAAGTGACATCCAAGATCATCCAAGATCATCCAAATGGGGCCCCATCAACTCCATCGCTCAAGGAGCCCAACTGATGTGCTTCAACGAAACTTCTGTATTTTTTAGCTTACCAACCTCTGTGTTTTTGGTTCCCCAAAAAAAATCACGTCCTAATTTGTGTTGCCATGGTTTTTCCATGTTTTTCCCAGGTTTCTGTTGGGCCAGCCCATCCCTTGGGCCCATCCCAAGCCCGGCCAAGCAACTCATCTTCCGCAGATAGTCACGGACCTGCTCGCCCGTGAGCTTCTCGAGGCCCAGGGCCTGCTGCATCCGTGGGATGTTCGCCGTCATCTCCTGACCCAACGGCATGGGGAACTGGGATGGAATGCATGGAGAAGATGAATTTTTGGGTTTTTTTCTTCGATAACAAGACAGGTCACTAAAATATTTCCTAGAATTAGTAAAGAATTAGTTGCTTTTATGTTTTGTAGATGCATAAAGGTCATAAAGTTGCAAATGATGCAAAATGACTTTGCCTGTCTACCGAGTTTTCCTCTCTGTAATACACTTCCTTCCCTCAGCTTTCAGGCTATGCAATTGCTTCCGTGCAATCTAAGCATGGCCATCCGCCACTGACTGTCGCCAATGTCGGCCATAATCGCCGCTTTTCAGGGACTCTAACTGGTGAAAACGCGCCAACTGATGCACCCTTCTAAGATCTAATGGATATGACAGGAACACACAATTGATTCATCGTACCTGGTCCCTTTTCTAACCAGAAAAGTTCCCACCTAGGCCCGCGCAAAAAGAACAGTCCAAGCGGCCCGCGAGTCCAGCATAGGATAGATCCTCTTGTCACCTGCCAGTCGATGACTCACAGCTGGGTAGTTCCTGGGCATCCTGGAATGAAATATTCAGAGTCTCGTTGGAAAATCATCCCATCCCCTTAATAGCCTTAATATTAAACACCCCCTAAACGAAACCATGGTGTTTAGTAGGGAATTTCCACATCATTGGAACCATTTAGATCCATTTAGGGGGTGTTTCCACATTTAGGTGATGGGATGACTTAATTTCTGTTTTTAATCAGTGAATTGTGGTACTCAGAATGATGAGGTGACGGATGGACGGATTTCTGTTTCAGAATCCGTCGAACTTCGGATGGTTCTCAAAAATCCTCCTGAGATGGTTTTCAGCGATGTCCATCTCAGGCCAGAAAACGGAACATCAAGGGGAAAAAGGGCGGAAACAAGGGGAAACAACTCTAGCATATAATGGCAGGTGGTACGTTCCTTTTTCTATTCCTCATATTTCTCAAAGGCGCTCCCAAATTGGACTCCCGGGCGTTCCTTTCAGACTGGTTTCAGACTCCTTGGGGGGAGCCTTGCAACATAGAAGGAGATGCCAGGAAAATAAGAGGAAAATTTCTCACACATGCCTTCGCAATCTTTTAAGGGGTATGTAATGTATGAAGTGGCCAGGCGCAATGCAATATTTTTGGACCAGTGCCAGAAGATGAAAGAATGATAAAATTTGAGGAATGGAATTGTATATGTTCAAAATGGAGAGGACATACACCATTTTCAAACAAACCCAAAAATCATATTCTTTGGTCCTGTTCCCATCAAAAATCCCCATCCCCATCACTGGAACCTGGTTTGATGAAGGTGTTGCCGGGATAGTCATCGGCATACCTGGGTCTCAGAGGTCCATACCACGGCTTCAACGTGCAACGGTGAAAACAATCACTGGCTTTATACGGGAAAGGTACGGATAACATTGATAACATCAAGAAAACCCATGGAAACCATGTAGTTTGACCATGTAAAATAGGAGGGTTCGGCACAAAATAACTTGAAAACCAAGTCTGACAATGTGGCACTAGCATGAAGCATCAAGCCCCGCGGAAACAACCAGAAAGCATCCACTTGACGGAAGGAGTTTGTTGATTTTGACTCAAGTCCCAGGTCGTTCCCCTACCGTGTCAGTCATCGCTTCTGCGCTGAAGGTATGATGTGCCGCTGGGATTTCCACCCTCAAGATCTTTCTCGCCAAGTGCTGTGGGAAAGAAGATTGCTGCAGCTGACTTTAGCATGCTTCACCTAAAGGAGAAATCTACACCTCTAATCGGGTGTAACCTGGAATCTGCATCAAGTCACACTGCACGGCTACGTTTTTAACACCCCCGGATGGGTTTACCCAGGTATCGTACCGAAGCCTCCCCTAAGGTTATCCATAGTGGTCCCATTACTGGGTGTTTTTTGCCCATTAACCACTTGCCAAATGGGATGATCTTCCAAAATCCCAGCCCCTGCAGCCCCAAGGGGGCCCACCAAGCTACACCACCTCAACAGGTTCTGCCACGAAAGGCTCTTTGCAGTACCTTTGCTGATAGGAAACGACTGCGGTCGTTCCAGTCGTCATGCGGCAGCAATGCACATGTTCAAAGGCGCCCCATCCACTAATGCCTCTCCAGCAGTTTTTGTTGAGGTCTACTGCAGGTTTTCAGCTTTTCATGACTGAAATGCCCTGCATTTCATAAAGAGTTAGAGTTAGGCTAGTTCATATATTCCCATTTGGAGATTTCTTAAAATGAGATACCCCTAAATCATCCATTTTGACCAAAGGATTTTCCTTTGATAAACTATCCAGCTATTGGGGGTCCCCCATTTTTAAGAAAGCCCTTAGAGCTATGTCCTGGCACATCACCGTAACCCGCCAAGGACGGCAAATTCTCATCCTGGTGGCTCCGCGAACATCGTCACCACGGTGTTCAGCACCACGTTGGCCTTCGTCAGGTCCGTGGCCGTACCTAGGCTGACAGCTGGTGCACATAACTCCCATTTCACTATGGTTTATGGTAGATATAACGAACTAGTTAATGGGGTTTATAAACCAACTTATAACTGGGGGGCACCATCCTGTAATATAGTGTTTCTTTTTTATGGGAGTTGCATTGGATTAAAAAAACAACATACCTTATTATGGGAACATGTGGGGTAATCGTCTATATATATATATATCGATATCTATATGTTTATCTATTTATTTATTTATTTTAAAAAATATTCAAAATAAAAAACTGTGGTAATTACCCCAAACGTCATCCCATTTGTTGGGGAATTTGGGCTAATAATCTATAGATTGGAAAAAATGGGGTAAGCTTCCAAACCTTGGTATATTATTTGAATGAAACTTCGATTATGAAAATTGTACACGTAGTAAGTTTAAGTTGAAAAGGCAACCCCCATTTCCTTATGTTTACCACTTTGTCGGTATTAAAAGCCTTGTCAAAACGATAGGTTATTGTTGCGTTGACTACATTAGTGTTCAGTCGATGTTTGTGTCCGCTGAAGATTTAAGATTGTTCCAAACATGAAGCTACTGCAACCCCAAAAGAGATAGTAAACTACATAAAATCCTACTAAACTAGAGATGCATCACTTTTTGTATTTTTGGAGGATTGCTACAATTGGTTTCTCATTCAGGGCCGACCATCAAGAGCGCTTGGGAAAGCTCGACCTTTGTCAACTGAAGTCGGCCTGTATTCAAATTGGGTGGTTTTCCCCTGCGATTTTCTCCATGGCTATTTTGACTAAGGCTTCAGTTTTTGTTTGATCTTTCATTGGACTTGAGCAGCCAATTCCAAAGCACTTCGGAATCTTCCCATTTTGGACCAAGGGACACTCGATGAAGACATCTTTGGTTTCCAACTTGATCTTGGAGTGTTCGCCGTTGATGATGGGAGGCAAGGACAGGACCACTCGGTTGCTGTCGTAGATCACTGGATACACCGGGCTGTCGCGGATGATAGGCAAATAGGTCCTCAGAGATGGTGAAACGTCTCAGCCCCGGTGAGACAGAGTTTCCCGTCGTTTCCCCAAAAGCTCCCAGTTTTTGCCAGTTTTGAGATGGCTTGAGATGTGATTATCAATGGATTGCTTTAAGGGAAAATCTACACCGGAAACCCATGGGTTTTTACCATCATCCATATAGGGGTTTCCTGTAAATTTTCCCATCATCCAATTCTATGTCTTTAGTGACAGTGGGGGACATCCAATATAAATTGGGTCCAAATTTGCTATGCGGAGGTCACCTTGGGAAAACCCGGAAATCCCAAGGATTTTCAACAGAACTTCGACACGCCCATGCCATGATGCAGATATCCATGGGGAAACCCCAAAGCAACGATTGGATCCAGTTATGCTATGTTTACAACATATCATACTAATATATCTTAATGGATCCAGTATTATATCAGTTATGGTTTATAAATCTTAATGACCTACCAATCTTGTTTATAATATTTCATATTCTCTATATTCTCTACGATATTGACACATGAAAACTTCCGATTGGCACACCATTTTTTTCCGTGAAATCTCAGCCCCTGTCAGATGAGTGGCTTCAGCTGCTGATGTGCTGATAGCACCTCCATCATGCGGCTGCCGTCCATCCTGGGTTTCCGTGAAGGCAGGGATGACACTTATGGTCAGGATGAGGAAATGCATAGTTTTCCAGGGTCAAGTAGCCATAAGTAGCCCCCACAGTTTACCCCTCAAGCTTTGCACTTCGACCATAACATCCATAACATCCATAACTATATATGGAGTCATAACTATAAAAAGTCCAGTGATGTCCAGTGATACCCAACCAGATCAACCAGTAACATCCAGTAACTTCACACCCGCGCCCGGCCGTGAACAATCGCGGAACTCTTCGGTCTGGTTCAACGGCGTGAAGCGAATCTCCTTGGGCGGGAGCGCCTCGTAGGTGAAGGGCGGCTTCAGTGTGGAGAGGTCGTGGGTGCCAATGGCCACCTCGGCTCGCTGATGGCAGGGAGGGCCCCTGGGGATGTTACATGTTGTTACTATATGTTACTATGATTTCTAGGAGAATTCTTGGGGATGTTAGATGATATTAGATGTGATAATGTTTTCGGAGACAGTAGTGGGTTTTGATTTTTTGAACTTTTCGGACGGATTGAATCAAGGATATGTGCATCAGTTGGCGTTTGTTCATTTGATAATGTTTGGGAAGTGTTTATGAGGTGTATAGCGGTTGCATGCGTTAGGGTTTTGAAAACAGAATCAGAAAACAATGATCGGGAATTCATGTTTTGTTCTTGGCAATGTTGTGAGAAACATACGGATCCTTTTGTTCATATCCACAGCTGGATTTGCAAATTCGATAGTGGGGCAATTGTTGATTGTTGGCTAGTCATTGTGGATTCCCTAGGATGGAAGTTTGAGACATCCCCTAGTAGCCCGGTAGCCCGGTAGCACCTACTAAGAAGACTACTAATACACTACCTGAAAAAAGTGGAATGTGACTACTGGGCAAGTGGACATTGGAGTTGGGTTTTGGGCCTTAATCAGCATTAATCTTTCTTGTAAGGGCCCACAAGTTGACACCAACATTGACAGTCACACGTGGATTGTCCAGCTGCAAGGGTGCGGCGTCGGCAAATGTTCTGATGCAGCTTGTCCTGAAGCTCAATGAAGCTCTCCTGGTGGCAGCTGACTGCGGCCAACTGGTCCAACTGGTCCCACCAATTTTAGCGCCCAATGGCAATGGCCCAAGTTGAAATCAGCAGTTTCTGGGTTTTTTTGGTCTTAAACCTGACCCGACCCTCCAAAAAAGTTATGGCCAGAACCCCCCTCTGAGATGCCATCAACAGCGCCAACAGCCCAAGCGTCGTAGCGATCTTGGTCGAAGGTCACATTCCGCAAAATGGCGCAGACCACGAAGGGTCTGATCTGCGCGGTCTCCTTCTTCACCGTCATCGTCATCCTGGAAGCCATCGCTTTTCAGATCAAATATGACCAAAAAGATCCAAAAAGAGCAACGATTCCACCAAGAAGAAGGCACTTACTCATGATTTGGCTGAATTCTCCCAAGGGTCATGAAGACTCCATATTTGATCCTTTTTTGTAGATAAAAACTATGATGAAATCCCCATGAATAACCATAAAATCCCATGACATGACCATTTTCATCACCATCAAATCTCCAGTAAATCACCATTAAATCCCCTTAAATCACCACGAAAACACCTATCGAATCCCCCAGCAATGTCCACTGTCCCAGGCTCTGTGCTGCCGGTTTGGGCGAGGACAGCTTGTACAGAGGGGCAGGGATCACCTGGGAGAGAAACATCTTCGGAAAACCCTGGTGATTGAAAAACCCCAGAAACACCAGTGGTTGAAGGCTCAAATGATATATAGCATATGGTTATATATAATGTTGTATATATTATATATATATATATATTATATAATCTTATAAATGCGATAGATGTTATATAAGCTTGTAGCATCAGCCCAGATTTTTTTGAGTGCTAGGTCTTGAAAACAGCGGAGCGTTTCCCGGTTGTTTTCGCTCGGCTTTAAGGGTATCCGGTATCCAACTTTTTCACCGCACATGGTCAGATATATAAGGAAAATCTACGTATTTATTCATGTAAAACATGATATTATTCCACCAATGAATGGGAAAAATATGTGTTTAGAATATTGTAAAATTATAATCAACCAATTATTGGTTCAAGGGAAACCAATAGCAGGACCCAAAAAGCGATTTCACTTGGGAAAAACAAAGTGGTGTCCGACGTGGATGTTCCCTGGAAAGCCTTCATCCCAGTGAAATGGTGAAACAATTTCAGTCTTCCACAGTGAAATTGTGTCGATTTCAGGCAGAATTGTTTTTGCTAATTTTGCTTGATCAATGAAAAAAAAAATGTCAGTTTCTGAAACAAAAAAAAAGGTCCGGCTGTTTTATGAGTTCCCCAAGATGCCCACGGATAGACATGATATGACATGATTATAGTTGGTCTGAAAACAGTACGCCCTAAATCCCTAAATCCAATGTCTAATCATCTGCAACGGCCGATCTAAAGATCCTAGTTGAAGCAATGGGGCTATGATAGATGTGGGCCATCAGGAATCCCAACCTTGACCCACAGTCGAAATCTAAGTGGGGTAGCATCTATTCCTACCAACTGAGGGGGAAACAGACCATTTTGCCAATCATGCTTCAACCCAGCTTCGCCCTTTGAAATCCTTTGAAAATCTTGATTCATGCCCATCTTATCATCTTATCCATGATGGAAAGTCATTCAAAAATCAGGAAAATCATTCAAAAAGATGGAAAAAAATATATACCCATGACGGATCCATGGTGCTGGTATATATGCTAACATAAAGGGGGTATATTGATGGGATCCATGTCACCTACTATATGGCAGCACCATGGATCCGTCATGGAATCACCAGGGCTTCCCATGGCTTCCCATGGCTCCTTTGGCTCCAAGTCACGCCCTTGAAGACCTGCAGGGCACGAACCAGGCCCTCGATGCACAGCAAATCGTAGCCTTTTTCGAGTTGGCGACGGAGGATGGGACCTGGAAGATCCCAGTTTTCACCTGGAAAGACCTGGAAAATTGATAAAATCCATGGGAAAATCCATGGGGAAATCATGGGAGTTTGACCTGGAAAATCATGAATCATCATGCATCAATATATGACATATATGATCCTGAGGGGTTTTTCTATATCTGGTTTTTCTGTTGAAAATGATATGTCTTTCAGTTTCTTGAGACTTCTTCACCAGGCAGACCAGGCATTTTTCCATTTTTCCACAGCTTTGTCGCCCAGGGACGGTTCGCCGGCACGTCCACTTTGAAGATGACGCGGTCCTCAGTGAGGGGGTGGCTTTATCATGGGGCCGGCAGATCCAGGGAATCCAGTGCGCACCGTGGGCACCAAAAAGAGATCTGCAAGGTGTTTTCTGTTTCTTTATCTGGTTGGTGGTAAACCAACCCCTCTGAAAAAATATATGAAAGTCAATGGGAAGGATGACATCCCATATATTATGGAAAATAAAAAATGTTTGAAACCACCAACCAGTTATTGTTCCATTACTATTGAAGTGGGCTATGTAAGATTATGTAAGTACTAGTCATTACTAGTGAAGTGGGCTATAAAAATGTGGCTCATATTTGGCTACTCCCTAGAATGGCTGGATGACGTTGGATGTGCACCATGGCGCGCCATGGCGCACCATGGCGCTCTCACTTTTCAGGAACCTCCAGGAATTCAACATGGCCTGTGCTGGCATGTCTAATTTCTGGGAAAGTCATCTACACACATACATATATGTACCTATTTTTGATATATATATATATGTTATATATATATACATATACCAAATGTAGAATTTTCATGAATTTTCCTATGGCGAGGTTGGATTACCATCTGGGCCAGTCAGGCGCTGACAGGCGGGCTCCCTAAGTGACACACCCCGTTCAAAAATAGCGACGAGTCCACCCAATCTTGGTTGGTGGGTTGGTTCACCCAATTACCATTGGACAAACCACAGCCTACTTACCACACTTACCACAAGGGCGAACTAAGCCACGATTGCGATTCCTGGGTTTTTTCAAATCAAGAACTCCGTTGTTTTTTTCCGCTTGCAGAGGAGTTCTGTTCATAGAAAGAATGCCACCAGTATTCCCGTAGGGACAAATAGAGGTTTCTATGATTTATCATCTGCCCATCGGTTGATGGGGGGAACCCTGTATTTATCAACCAGTGGGAATTTGGACCATCTATGCCCCTAGGGTCAGCACCAAGCATCGCTCAAGCCTTCAGCCGCCTGTGCACCTCGCTCCTTCTCCACCTGAGGCCATAGCTGGATTTACGATGGAAAAAATGACGGGAAACCAAGGATTTTACATACACAACATATAGAAAAGTTTTATGTAGGCAAATGATACCAATATTCCCAATTGTCCCTGAATCTTTAAAAATCAGTCTGATGCTTTCAATTTTTCCTTGAAATTAAGTAACTCAATTCTAGAAGTGACACTCCTATTTGCTACAGGTGTCCATCCAGCAGTTTCATCAGTTTCTATCCTCTCCTGTGTGTTGAATGTTTCCCTGGGGAATTGGTGTCTGAATTCAGTGGCCAAGCTGCCATTGCTTTCTGAGAAGTAACATCATCTAACTCCAGACCGAACTCGAAGCACAGCCTAGGCTCAGGCAGGTCATGACAGGTCATAGCGTATCATGGCGGTCATGGCAGGCCCGCAACCATGGCAATGGCCAAGGAAACCAACATCATTGTGAAATGGCCAAGTGACCTCTGGGAAGATCTTAGGAATTTCGACTCGTGGGCGCTATCCAAAAAGGTAGCCGATCCTTCTGGATCCGTATCAGCTTGTATTACATTGTATCAGGTTGTATCCAAGCAGCTCATCAAAACTCTCCTCAGTCACATCATTTCCCAAGGCCTTTTGTAGGCTGTCGAAGAAGACACCTCAAGGCCCGCAGGAAAGGCCCGCGGCGCATGGGGACGACCCCGGGCTCGAACCGCGAAACAAGTGGAACTAGCCGCAAGGGTGTCATCAAACATGGCGATTGCTGGGAAATCCTCGAACGAAATAGGCATTAAAACATTTAAAACGGGAAAATATTGAACTAGAAAAATGGGGGATGATCCCGGATGTTCCATTGCGATGTTTGATTAGAAGGTACCATGAATGACCGCGAAACAAGCAGGGAAAAATGGGGAAAACAACCAGCTCTCGCTATCCAAAGATTGCCTTGACAACTTCCACTCCCAAAATGGAACAGCCGGACCTTCAAACTGGTCATGAATTCGTTTTCCAAATCCAGTCCTTCAGACCTCAACATGTTTTTTTGGGTGTAGTTCATCTTAAGGATTATAATGGCTCATGATTTTTGATGATTTTTGCGTCTCCAGGTTTCAACTCCTCCCATTGCAGCTGCGGTGCTCACGGTCGGCATCTTCGAATCTTTTTTTTGGGTGGCCGCGCAGGCGCCGCAAGCGGCGCCGCCACCAGTTCTTTCAGCGCGACGCTGTCCGAAGATCCAAGCCGGGCAACGCATTTGGTCCAGTGGCAAAGGGGTGATCCACCCATGAAACACGACCCAAATGGCCCCCCAAATGAATAGAACTATATAATATGAATATATATGAATTAATATATAGAATAGATCACAAATCAAACTTTTGGATTGGCTCAGATTTTTTGCATCACCTGGAGACCTGCCGTTTTGACCCTCCAACGAAACCACACTTGCTCCGTCAACACAGGTGCCCCACAATGCCCCAATAGAAAATCCCATAGTCATGGCGAAATCAAAAAGGTGTCATGTGTTCAGCCATCCTTAATTTCATGGTCATGGCCCAATGGAGCGGCCGCATTGTGTGGGTGGAGCATTCTCATTTTCAAACCTTCGCACAATGCTCGGATCTATTCGCTGATCAATGCTCCATGAAGCAGCTTTCACACTCCTCGCCACCCAGCCAGGAAACTGCAGGACGGCCACATGTGTGACACTCGCCACATTCCTCTTCGCCTTCTTCCTCATCCTCCTGGTATTCCTTCTCTCTGATTCTTTCCGGGGCGGTGTTCACGCCCACTGCAACTGCCAGCATCCCTGGAAAGGAACGTGGCTCCAGAGGGAAGAACACATAGGAGAGGATCAACTGCCTTGCAACGTTGGGTAGAAGCCCTGCTCTCGCCCCCCTCCACCTGCTGATAGTCATGCTCACTACGCATCCCAATGGCTCATCAGGTTTGTCATCAGCAACTGGGAATTTGAAATTTTCTTCGAACATAGGCGGCGAGCTTCCCACAGGCAACTCGAAGGAGCTGCAGCCGTCCTGCCATGCTTGATGTATGTCCCCCGGATACAAGTCGCCCCGATCCCAAGCTTGCAGAATGTCATCGGGAAGCTCGACTTCTTCCACCCGATCATATACGGCACCAACATCTGGGATTTTGGTGTCGTTCTGGGGGGTCGGAGAGATAGCGGCCATTCTCAATGGTCACCGGCATCCCATTCTTATCCACCATGCAACCTCCGCTGGGCCAGAACACACTGGATAGGAACACCGGCCGCTCTTCATTAGTCCAGAAGCGGAGTCGAAGGCAGCATTCTTGCTTGGCAACAACGTCTCTCCGAAAGTTTCCACCGACCATCTCAACATAAACCTCCACAACTCGAGTTGACTTCGCCTCCGCCTCCTGAATCTCGATGCTGAGTTGCTGCTGGGAAGAGCGGAAGATGCCTGTCTTTGGATGCCTGCGCAGGTCGAAGCAAACCTGGTACACGGGCAGTGTGTCGAACGCTCGGTCTGGTTGAAATCCCAAGGAGTGTCCGGACAGCATCCTCTCCACTGCCTCGTCTGGGTTCACGAAGGACTCTTCGGAATCCATGGCCCCCATCTCCAGCTCTAGCTCCTGCTCTCTTTCCAGCATGCAGTTGAAGCGCCGTGCCAGCGCATCCAACTTCTGGCACATGGCCTCCGGCACAGTCACTGCCATCACTGAAGCCATTGAAGCGGTTGCAAGCAAAAACCCTAAGATGCCCTAAGGTTTGTGCATGTCGCTAGATGTTTTTAACTTCTTGATCCATCTTGATCATCGTCGTTCTGTATCATGGCAGTTGCTGTACTGTACTGATCTGCTGTACAGCCTGGATCCTGGGAGCCCAGCAACATCTGCAGGCTTCCAAGGCCAGGTCCAGGTCCCAGCTCGAATGTCCCGTTTGATGCCCCAACCAGGACTAGGGTGACTAGGGCACCATGACACACTTGCGTTTATGGAAAATCTACAGGAAACCATGGTCTTTACATGTTTTTATATGTTTTTACCTTCCAAAATGCAGGTGTCCTCATGTGTCCTCTCAATTCCTTCCTTTTACAAATCCGTCGGATGGCTACTTCACCAGCTTCGACTATGGTTTCTCTCCTGCAGTCGATCCTGCAACAAGAGTGACCAACACTGGATCCTGATCCACCTTTTACAGTTAAATCTGGCCATATCTCTCATTCAACAACTCATTCAGGAAAGGAGTCCCAAAGCTTCCCCCCGGGGGCCCCGGCTGAAGAGAACATCACCCACCGAGCTGCCTCCGGCTGCCCAAATGGAGGACCTGATGCTCAGCCAGCCATAGCGGACATAGCGTGGGCCCATCCATTGTGTTTTCTGTGGCGGTGTGCAAGATTCTACACGAGGGATTATCAATATTTAAGTGACCTAACTATCTAACAATAACACTGATAAGTAAAATGCAACATACGCAATCAATAATCATATGCCATATTTGTTTCATAGGTATGGTATTACAAAAAAAGGACAGTTCCACAGCATTGCTTGACCCACCCTCCACCCTTGAGCTCATTTGTCCAAGTGGTGGATTTTGTGGTTTCTGTCTGCCACAGGTCCTGGGAGTCTTTGGTACTGTTGTGATGATGTATTGTTGTGATGATGTATTGTTGTGATGATGTATTGTTGTGATGATGTATTGTTGTGATTGTGTATTGTTGTGATGATGTATTGTTGTGATAATGTATTTTTGTGATGATGTATTGTTGTGATGTATTGTTGTGATGTATTGCTGTGATTGTGTATTGTTGTTATGATGTATTGTTGTGGTGATGTATTGTTGTGGTGATGTATTGTTGTGATAATGTATGTTTGTGATGATGTATTGTTGTGATGATGTACTGTTGTGAAGAAGTATTGTTGTGATGATGTATTGTTGTTGTGATGTATTGTTGTTGTGATGTATTGTGGTGGTGATGTATTGTTGTGATGGTGTATTGTTGTGATGGTGTATTGTTGTGATGATGTATTGTTGTGATGATGTATTGTTGCGGTGATGTATGGTTGTGATGATGTATTGGTGTGGTGATTTGTTGTTGTGATTTTGTATTGTTGGGATGATGCATTATTGTTGTGATTAAAAGTATTGTTGTGATTGTGTATTGTTGTGGTGATGTATTGTTGTGATGATGTATTGTTGTGATGATGTATTGTTGTGATTGTGTATTGTTGTGATTGTGTATTGTTGTGATTGTGTATTGTTGTGATGATGTGTTGTTGTGATTGTGTATTGTTGTGATGATGTGTAGTTGCGATGATGTATTGTTGTGATGAAGTGTTGTTGTGTTGATGTATTGTTGTGGTGATGTTTTGTGGTGGTGATGTATTGTTGTGATTGTGTATTGTTGTGATGGTGTATCGTTGTTGTGACGTATTGTTGTGGTGATGTATTGTTGTGATATGGTGTGATGATGTATTATTGTTGTGATCGATTGTTGTGATGCTGTATTGTTGTGATTGTGTAATGTTGTGATGATGTATAGTTGCGGTGATTTATTGTTGTGATTGTGTATTGTTGTGATGATGTATTGTTGTGATGATGTATTGTTGTGATGATGTATTGTAGCGAGGATGTATTGTTGTGATGAGGTATTGTTGTTGTGACGTATTGTTGTGATGATGTATTGTTGTGATATGTTGTGATGATGTATTATTGTTGTGATCGATTGTTGTGATGATGTATTGTTGTGATGATGTATTGTTGTTATAATGTATTGTTGTGGTGATGTATTGTTGTGATTGTGTATTGTTGTGATGATGTATTGTTGTGATTATGTATTATTGTTATGATGTATTGTTGTGATGATGTGTAGTTGCGGCGATGTATTGTTGTGATGAAGTATCGTTGTGCTGATGTATTGTTGTGGCATGTTGTGGCGATGTATTGTTGTGATTGTGTATTGTTGTGATGATGTGTAGTTGCGGTCATGTATTGTTGTGATATGTTGTGATGAAGTGTTGTTGTGTTGGTGTATTGTTGTGGTGATGTGTTGTTGTTGTGATGTATTGTGGTGGTGATGTATTGTTGTGATTGTGTCTTGTTGTGATGGTGTATTGTTGTGATTGTGTATTGTTGTGATGATGTATTGTTGTGATTGTGTATTGTTGCGATTGTGTATTGAACTGGTGATGTACTGTTGTGATGATGTATAGTTGCGGTGATGTATTGTTGTGATTGTGTATTGTTGTGATGATGTATTGTTGTGATGTATTGTTGTGGTGATGTATTGTTGTGTTTGTGTATTGTTGTTATGATGTATTGTTGTGGTGATGTATTGTTGTGATTGTGTATTGTTGTGATGATGTATTGTTGTGATAATGTATTTTTATTATGATGTATTGTTGTGATGATGTATAGTTGCGGTGATTTATTGTTGTGATTGTGTATTGTTGTGATGATGTATTGTTGTGGTGATGTATGGTTGTGATTGTGTAATGTTGTGATGATGCATTGTTGCGGTGATGTATTGTTGTGATGATGTATTGTTGTGAATCTGTATTGTTGTGATGATGTATTGTTGCGATGATGTACTGTTGTGATGAGGTATTGTTGTTGTGACGTATTGTTGTGATGATGTACTGTTGTGATATGTTGTAATGATGTATTATTGTTGTGACCGATTGTTGTGATGATGTATTGTTGTGCTGATGTATTGTTGTGATTGTGTATTGTTGTGATGATGTATTGTTGTGATGATGTATTGTTGTGGTGATGTATTGTTGTGATGATGTATTGTTGTGATGATGTGTAGTTGTGGTGATGTACTGTTGTGAAGAAGTATTGTTGTGATGATGTATTGTTGTTGTGATGTATTGTTGTTGTGATGTATTGTGGTGGTGATGTATTGTTGTGATGATGTATTGTTGTGATGGTGTATTGTTGTGATGATGTATTGTTGTGATGATGTATTGTTGCGGTGATGTATGGTTGTGATGATGTATTGGTGTGGTTATTTGTTGTTGTGATTTTGTATTGTTGGGATGATGCATTATTGTTGTGATTAAAAGTATTGTTGTGATTGTGTATTTCTGTGGCCATGCATTGTTGTGATGATGTTTTGTTGCGGTGATGCATGGTTGTGATGAGGCATCGATGTGACTATGCATTATTATTGTGATTATGTATTGTTGTGATGATGTATTGTGGTGATGTTGTATTGTTGTGATGATGTATTGTTGTGATGATGTATTGTTGTCCGCATTTTCAAAAAATGTCGGGGCTCAGACTTCTAAACTTCCTTTGACCATGCAATATCACTATCCGCATCTGCACCATCTCCTTTCAGGGAACCACTCACATTTTCGAATACCCGCCAACGGCATCATTTGGACATATACAAAGCTTCTTTCCATAAAGGTTCGGCTTTTCGATGCTTTCAAATTGAAACCAACTCATCCGATACTTCAGGAACACTAAAACTGAAACTTCTGGATTGACTACTGAAACTTCTAAAGCCCTCAATTTGTGCATCGCATCCTTCCACCGTTGGCCCCTTTTTTGGCACAATTTGTTCCTGGGACTGCGCTTGGCAGTCAGCTATGTGTTGAGTGCGGCAACATCACGTTGCCACTTCAAGGCGCGTGCAAATGCTTGGCGCAAACAACCTCCAAGGGCTCACTTTTGCGAAAAGGCTGCCTAAATTGTCAGAATTCGAAGCTTCTAGGCCAGAGTCTGATTCAAGAACAATGACATAGAAAGCCTCAACCCATCTGTGGTTGTGTTTGGGGTCTTGGATGTTCAACCAACAAAGGCGCCGTAGCACATACCAGACATATCACAACCCACATCTCAAACGACTCTGCCGAACTGCATAGCTATCAAATGCAGCATTCGGATGCATTCGGGTTGAAGAGGGTTTGCATTGCAGCGACATGTGGCAGCAACCCAAAGCCTCCTCCACATAGGCCAGACATGGCCAGACGAGGAAAAAACACAAATGGATACAAATGGTTACATGTCTTGCTATTGCAATGAGCCTGAAGGTCTGAAAGACCGAAAGACCCTTCATGTCCAGAAACAAACACGGTCAAACGTTTCGTCCCACAGGGACACCCGGATGGGCAATGCAACAGTTTGACTCACTGCAATGCAATCGTTTGTCGACAACTTTGCCGCTATTTGTTTCTGGGACTACGCTCAGCAATCAGATATGTGTTGAGTGCGGCAACATCACGTTGCCACTTCAATGCGCGTGCAAATGCTTGACGCAAACAACCTCCAAGGGCTCACTTTTGCGAAAAGGCTGCCTAAATTGTCAGAAGCCGAAGCTTCTAGGCCAGAGTCTGATTCAAGAACAATGACATAGAAAGCCTCAACCCATCTGTGGTTGTGTTTGGGGTCTTGGATGTTCAACCAACAAAGGCGCCGTAGCACATACCACAAACCACATCTCAACTACACCGTTGGCTCAAGACTCTGCCAGAACTGCACAGCTGTCAGCCGCAGCATTCGGATTGAAGTGGGCTTGCATGGCAGGGACATGTGGGTGTATAGGGTGTAACCCTAAGCCCTGTCTATAGGCGCAGCTACTTGAAAGCAGAAAATTGGCACACTGTTACTGCAATGAGCGTGAAGGTCTGAAAGGCCGAAAGACCCTTCATGTCCAGAAACAAACACGGTCAAACGTTTCGTCCCACAGGGACACCCGGATGGGCAATGCAACAGTTTG